TGCGCGTTAACGCAGCGAGGTCTCTGCCCTCTCACAGCACGCGTCCGCGTGCTGTGAGCGCTGTGCTGCTACTGTGTGGCAAAACAAGTTTTTGGTTTCAACTCTCTGTGCATTCACATTACTTGTCAACCTAATTGCAAGAAGGTGTACTGAGTGCTGCGCAATTGCTACGGCCCTGGTTGTGTGGGGACTGTCCTTACGGATGCGTTGGGCAGTTTAGGTGACGGAGGTTCCTTGCCTTACGGCCTACCCATACTTTCGCTTAATGTCTGTACTAGACGTGGCGCAGCATTGCTATGGGTGACGGGCAACTGAGTGATTGGTGCCGGTAGGTTCTTGTTTTCATTGGTCTCACCTCGCTGGCCTTGCGTTAAGTTGTCTTGCAATAAGGGCCTCTGCGCTAGCGGTTGCTTCTTTGTAGTGACGACTTCTTTTACGCTCGCTAGCTTGCACAGTTGGACTCTCTAAGTAGATGTCTGTCTCACCCTGAGTGGATTGTCCACACAAGATTGGCCTACTGGGCTGCTGATGCAGTAAAGAGGCGACCATCTCAAAAAAATTCAACTGGTTAACATTCCTAAATCTTGAACCCTAATCCTTTAAACCTTAACCTCAGAGGGTTAAAAGGTTTGGAGTTTGGGTTGAACTGCCGGGTTCAAATCTATAAAAACTTGGAGCCTAAACTGTTAATCCTGAGCCTTATAGAGGGTTGAGGTTTAGTTGCCGGCTTAGGTTCATAGTTGCCTAAATCTCAATGCCTAAACCGTTGAACCTTAACTTTAGAGGGTTTGCAAGTAAGGGGTCGGTTTAATTGCTGAGCCCTATGGGGCTTCGGGCTTTTGTTTGAGACCCCGCAGCTACAGACACTCCCTGAATGTTAACCTGGTCTTAAGCTCTATGTTCTCTAGTGCCCCAATTAAAACATTTTGAAAAATATTTGTTTAATGTTGTTCCTACCCTCTTGTGTGGTATTGGCAGGACGTTTGCAGGGTGTTACTCTTACTCTTTTCCGTTTTTTGTGTGGTATTTGCAGGACTTTTGCAGGGTGCCAAGGGATCCCGGCAAATTTTGACCCGCAAATGTTGTTCCTGCCCTTTTCCATTTTGTGTGGTATTTGCAGGAGGCAGGAGGCAGGCAAAAGGTGTATATGCCCAGACCTTAGGTTTCTAAACCATTACACTAAAAGGGTTGAAGGTTTAGGTTTTTTTCAGGGTTGATCTCTAAAAATTCAGGATTCAAAGTTGGGTTTAAAGCCTTAAATCTTTTGGGTTATGCCTACGTTTGTAGGGGCTTGCTTCGTGTGGAAATGCAAAGAGAAAGCAGAATAAATACCAGCATCATGTTTTCTAGGGTATATGTATTGTATCTCAAATGCAGATAATGGAAAAGAATGGTAAGCCTCGAACAGTAAGATTAGGAAGCATTCGAGCCAACAGTCAGTTGGGAAGCCTTCGAGTGCATGGGGTGATGCAAAAATCTTTTGCTGCAAGTCCCGGCGACGCGAGAATACTGTGAGCAAATGATTGGCAGCAAGCCTAGCTGATGCTCATGATGATTTTTTTCTCTCTCTCTCTCTCTCTCTCTCTCTCTCTCTCTCTCTCTCTCTCTCTCTTTCTCTCTCTCTTCCTATATATGGGCGATGGAACGGGTGTCCTTTTCAATCGTTTTCTGCATCTTCAAGTGGAGGAAGGGGCCGCGCAAGAAGGAAAAGTAACATAAGAGATAGAGAGAGCTCCTTTCTTTACTTAATCATTCCCGTTCCTTTCTTCTTATCTGCTATTTGTCTTATTCGCTTGAAAAAGCAAAATAAGGGAAAGGGGGTTTTCTGAAGAGAAGGGAGGTCGCCCATCTGTGAAGAGCCTTACTTTGTCACTCCGTCTCCTTGCTTCCTGTCTCTTCTTTTCCTTGCAGCACGCTTCCACACAAATGGCATCCTTGTTATCTTTCCTCTTTCACTTCCCTTCCCCTTCTCTCCTTCTGCTTACTTTTAGCTGATAAAACACAAAGGAACTTGTATGAGAAAAAGAAAGGAGGAATTGGAGGCCCTGTTTCTTTCTTCTCCTGTTTCAATGGATGGGGAAAGTGAGCGGGGTTGGCTCCTTGCCCGTAGACTCGTAGACCCTCCCCATGCGTAGCAAATCCCTCCTCTCGCCTCTGTTCTTTTCCTTGTTCCCAAACGGAAAACGAAAACGGGTTCCTTTACATGTTCATTGTTCTTCCTGTTGTGTTTAATTTCAAAGGGAAAAGAACAAGCGAAGATAAAGATAAGAAAGAGATGAAAGATGAAAACGAGCACCATCTTCTCTTTGCCTTATTTTTGCACCTCCCTCTCCTGTCTTCATGTATTTCCATTCTTGTCATTGCTCTTCCCATGAATATTGCATTCCTTTTGATCTCTCCTCTCTCCTTTCTCTCTCCCTTCTCTTCTCTTGTTCTCCTTTAAAGCTCAAAAACACACAAAAGAATAAAAGAAGGAAAAGAAGAAAAGAGATAGGGAAAGACATTGAAGAGCTCCACTGCCTGTTGTTTCATTCCCTTTCCTCTCTTTCTATGTGTTGTTTTCCTTGTCGTTTCAGAAAGCAAACAAAATAAGGGCAGGGGGGCTTCCTGAAGAGGAGAGAGGTCACCTGTCTGCGAAGAGCAAGACTAGCCTTGTCTTTTGTAATTATAGAGGGACAAGGAGAGACAAGGAAGGGAGAGATGATAGAAAAAGAAAATGCCATCTTCTTTGCGCCTTGTTGTGTTTCTCCGTCTCCTTGTTTCTTGTCTCTTCTCTTCTTTTCAGTGCCCTTCCAGAAAATTATAATGGCCTCCTTGTTGTCTCGCCTCTCTCATTTCCCTTTCCCTTCTCTCCTTCTGCTTCCTTTCAAACGGATAGAACACAAAAAAGGAGCTTGTATGATAAAGCAGTGGAAGGGTAAGCAGAGGGTGACTCCTTGCGCGTGGACCTTACCCTTATCCTTTTCATAATTCATCCTTTTTAGTTTCTTATTTCGAAAATACAGAGGAAAGGGAGAGATACGGGAGAGAGGATAGATAAAGAAGAGTGCCATCTTTTTTGCGCCTTGTTTTGTCTCTCCCTCTCCTCTATATTCATCTTTCTTCTATGCTTTTCTTGGTTTTTCCCACTAAAATTGTGTTCCTGTTATCTCTCACTCCTTCTCTTCTCCTGTTCCCCTTGAAGTGACAAAAAACACAAGAAAGGAAGAACAAGAGGGGAACGGCCTGTTGCAATGAATCAGGAAAAGAGCATAGGAGACAAAGAAGGGAATTGAAGAGCTCATCTCGCCACTTTCTCATGCAATTTCCTTTCTATCCACCACACCAAAACACGACTCTCAGCTTCCAAATAAACCCTATTTAAGCCACCCACGGGGGGAGGGGTGGGGGAGGTGGGGGGGCAGGTGGGGGGGAGGGGGGGGGCAGGGGGGGGGGGAGGGGGAGATGTGCTACCAGTAAGCCACGGTTTTCAAGGCTCTTCCAGGTCGGTCCGTACACCGCTGCCTTGTCGGCAGTGACAGGCCCTTCACGTGTTCTCCATTGTGGCTTAGCCGTGCAGGCCTGCGGATGGCCCGCGGCCATGCCCTGGCACCTGGCTGCACGTGCCTGGGGTTGCAGGACGCAACTTGACCTCTGCAAGCACCGCCGCGAAGCGGTGTGGTGCCCTTTGCGACCGATCTTGCTGCAAGTTCGGCGCTTTTCCTAGCGCAGGCTGTCGGTTGCACGCTCCAGTCTCCGGTGGGCGATACGAGCTTTGAACTTGTGGTGTTGACACGCATTTTCTGTGCAAGGTCTTTCAAGTATCCTGAGAGATTGCACAGAGGTGGTATTAGTTGCCGGTCGGGCCGGTGGTGACTGACAGGGTGTATGACGCACACCCCTTCCTTCAGCTGTTGCTGAGGGCCATACGTTGAGAGGATTGTCGATTTCAGATGTGAGACAACGGCTGCGCTGCCTTCTGGTTTCAGGAAACCATCAGTACTTTTTAGAGGCTGATGATTAGATTCAGTGGCAATACCCTGCATGTTCCACTGGTGGTGAGATGTTCCCCGTAGTTCCCATGCTAGACCTCTGGGCTTCGGAGTGCTGACATGAGAGGCCCCGTGCATCCTTTATGCACGTCTATGGTTGTGCTCAAGCCACACATGTGTTCTTTGAATGGGAAGCCCAAAAAGCCCAAAGGGGTCGTCAGGCGATCGCGACTTGCATGTCAAAGGGTTTGGCCCACATCGCACACGCACGTACACACACTTCACCGACATTTTTGACCTTGCATGATTTCCTGTGCATCCGGTAAGAAAACGGACTGGCGACTTGATCCCTGCTGAGTGGCCAGGCTTGTTCATAGAGGAGGCTGCTCTTGGCGAGTGGTGCAAACCCAGGTGCAAACATTGAACCTGAATGCGGCATAAGGTTGAGCAGATACATTGCGTGCTGCCGGTTCAATTTTGATAAGTTGTGATAGGTTGGCGACGGTTGTATTGGCATTTGTGACAACATGTGCTGTTTCATCATTCTTGCAAGTGCGCTTCGCCGCAGAAATCAAAGCCGTGTGGTGGCAAACTTGCCTTCGAAAGGCATTTTTGCGACGTTGCCGCTTGTGAAATTCCAGCTCGCTGCGTGGTTTGTGGCTCTTGCCAACATTTTCAAGTGTCGGCTGTTTGCCCATTCCTTTGCATTTTCCCTGGGCAATTCGGGTGCTGGCCTTAACCATCTTAACTTTGTGTTCTGGTTGTGGTAGTCTCATGCGGGCAGCGGCAGTAGCGTAACACATGCCAAAAACATCTCCTCACTTCAGGAAGTCATTGCGTGCTCGGCAGCCAAGAACAGAGTGGTGTTTTGTCAAGGCCAATGCCGCTCAATGGACACCACGAGAGCGATGGTGGAACGGCATGGTCAGGAGAAGGAAAGTCGCAGGCAGGGAGCATGTCGGAACCGTTTGTGCGCTTGTCCTGCAAGTGTGAAAGTTGCTTGCTGCACTTCTTCCCAAGGATGAGTTGATGATGAAGGACGAATGCATCCTGGTCAATTACATGGATGAGGCTCGTTCAAAGATTGTGCAGAATTTTGCTTTGCGAGCCAAGTTGGGGCATGAATAGCGCATGGCTGAATGGCTGGGAAGGTTATCGGCCACAACAACAAATACAATTGTCACAAGTTTGCACCTGGCCAGCCACGCGGCTTACTGTCCTTGACTAAGAGCGTGAGTGCGTTTGTGGTAAATCTTGTTGTTTTGTTTCTCATGTGTGTTATCACGAGTAACGAGTCCCACAGGCACAGGGCCTTTTCCGTGCTGCTTTTCGATAGTGAGAATCGTCTGCTGCTCGGGCCTCGGAATTCGCTTCCCATCCCATGATGCTGTGATTGCCTCGTTTCGACTGCTTGCCCTGCCCGGCTGTGCCAATGTGTTTGCCACTTCCAGGCTCCAACAGCGGGCAAGAAGCAAGATCACCTTCCCTCTGGTGTGGACCAATACGTGTCCTAGCCCGAGAAGGAAAGCCTGTATCAGGAGGCGTGGCCAGATACACGCAGATGTTGCAGAGGTTGCAGCCACCCTTTGTACGGCATGAAGCCATGCGAAGTGGATGCGCAGTGGCCTCAGTGGCCTTTGTAAGGGAGAACGGCTTTTGAGCTTGATTTCCACAAGTCCGTTTTGTGGAACGAGATCCCAAAGCGTGAGGCCGGAGGCCGTTGCGTCGGGTGACCCCAAGGGTGTCAAGGCAAGGACAGCTTTCTAGCAGCACTTCGATGCCACGTGGAATGCTGCCCTGCCTTGATCTGTCCTTGTGCAGCCGGTGGAACTTGGGGTTTTCTTGGCTTATTGCAGTCATGTCACAGTACTTTTGAGGCGGCTGCAGTTCGCAAGCTCGGGCATGAGTTGGGGATTCCAGCGGTGGGCGCCTTGGGGGTCGAGCTGCGGAGCGGAGATTGTCTTAGGCCAATGCGGCACCGAGGCGTCGCTGGAGATTTCGCGCTTCAAGTTTCTGACCCGTGCGGTGCTGAGCGCTTTGAAGGAAGCACTTAATCGTCTGTACCGGGCGCGCTGGTCATGTGCCCCAAGGTGTTCACTACTGGGCAGTCGATGTCAGAACGCATGGTGATGAGGCAGGTGACAATGGCAGTTCGATCGAGCCGGCGGTGCCAGCCTTCCCAGCCTTGCCTCAGGCAATATGGGGTGAACACGAGATTGATCATATCCTGTGCAGCTCTCGGCCGACTTGATGTAGGCGTGCTTGCTGCCAATCTGATGTCTGTTTGTAGCGTGGAGGTTGTACCGGCTGAACCCCGGTGAGACGCTGACGCTTAAACCCAATCCGGAAGAGGTGGAGGCCAAGCCTTCAGCTTCCCAGCACACGTCACTGACCGGAGGAGCTGATCACCGGAGCGTTTTTCTTTTTATTCTGCGTCTTCGACCTTGAAGGGCACGCGCTGGCTTGCAAAAGACGAACTCAAAGAGGCACAGCAATCTTCAATTTTGCAGTTCCAACAAGCATTTGTGGAATTTGAACAGCGCACATCAGGCCATGAAGGGTACTGGAGACATGCCATTGTGGTCTCCATGGTTTGGACCTTTAGCTGGAGCATGAGGTGCACGGTGCAGGGCTTCAATGCAGCTGTGGCCGTACATGGACCGCACAATCTGCAGACCAAGGTTCAAAATCATTACCGAGCGACTGTTGGATGCATGGTGGCAGGACATCGCCACCTTTCCAAACATAGTATGCAAATGGCATTTCTTGCGCACTCTCTCTCTCTCTCTCGCTTTCTCTCGCTCTCTCCTCCTGTTTCTCTGTCTTTGGCTTTCCGGCTACTAGTCGGTGTCTGTCTTGCTGGGTTGACAACTGTGCCTTATTCGTTTCGGTTCCAGTCCTCTGCAAAAGGACTTGGACAATGCGCTGTCCACGGATAAGCCGGGACTGCAGTGTTTTTTCAACAAGTTGCCTTGTTGAGCAAGCCACGTGATTTCATTTGTTGACGAGGGGCTCATAGTTGGAGTGCTTCCCACCTTGCCGTTGCTTCTCAGGTACGTCGATGTCTCCTCCATCCACCGCTTCGATACAGCGCCGGACACGCCCACCTAGCATTAGCAACCCTGTGCTGCTTGGGACACGGCGTGCGGTTGAACTGATTGACAGCTCAATATCCTGGTGTTTGCATGCAAAGCTCACAGCTTGGTGTCCCAAGAAGCTTGCCCAAAAGCTTCCAAGCACTTTTGAGCTGTTGAGGAGTTCCACGGTGGGCTTGGCAAGGCTGGTCCTTGGTTGGACAAGGTGGCGGAGGCCGACCTGAACAGAGCTTCCCCCTGCTTTAGTCACAGTTTTCTGTCGGGTGCTCGTGCATCCTGCCAGGCCGAGGCAACGGCCATGAGGGAAGGTGGTGAAGCTGCAGCCTCGAGAGCACAGGGCCCTTGTGCCAACTTGCACTTGGAGCAGGACTTGTTGTGAGCGGATGAAAGTTGTGGATTTGCTTGCAGCTGGATGGGCTCATGAATGGCCCAGAGTGCCTTAGAAGGCCCAGAGGGTAGAGCGCTACGAGTGGGAGGCAAAGTCTGGCAGCATGCGGCTGCAAAGGTCAGCGGGGCGGGGGCCGCCGGCAGGTTTTCCAGAGCTGAGCAAGCGGCCAAAGCGGCCAAAGCGGCCAGCACAGCCAACGCTTTGAGGCACTGGCGGGAGTGCCTGGAAGTGCTCCGAGTTGTCCGACTTGGTCAGACACAGACATATGCATCATTTGCGAGCCCGTTTGTGGACCCGTTTGTAATCTCGAGCGGAGTTGCCATCAGTGGGTGTGCCAGCTCCCAGCACTGGAGAATCAGCCTTTGCTTGGCCAAGGATTTGCAGCGGACTGGCTTGCAAACGAACACCGTAATCTACAATGCATGCATCAGCGCAGGGGAGAAGGGCAGAGAGTGGCAGAAGAGTGTTCTGTTGCTTGAGGAGATCAAGCGAGCAACCCTGCTGGTAGATGTGATAAGTTGCAGTGCAGTTATAAGTGCTTGTGAAAAGAGTGGCCTGTGGCACGATGCCTTGCGGCTGCTCGGGACCGTGCGCTGGGGGGCCTTGCAGCCAAATGTGGTCACATTTAGTGCTGCGCTTAGTGCGTGTGCAAAGGCTGGACACTGGCAGCAGGCACTTGTGTCGGAGATGCGGCGACATCAGCTTCAGCCAAACACCATCACTTACAACTCTCAAATCACTTCGTGCGAGTGGCAGCAATCGTTGCTGATATGGGCCGAACTCAGACAGAGGCAGTTGCATCAAACAGCAATAACTTGCGGCGCAATGGGAACTGCAATGGCAAGCAGCTTGCAGTGGTGCCTGTCGTTGAGCCTTGTTTACGGGGACTTCACGGCAGATGGCTTGGTTTTGAACAACAGGGTTCTGCATACCTCCGCAATTAGTGCCTGTAGCAGCAGAAGCCAGTGGACACGGGCGTTCAACATGCTGTCTACGCTGCAGGAGAGCTGTGTGCAAATTGGGATGGAGACGTTCATTGCTCATACCGCGGCCTGTGGGAGACTTTCGTTATGGCAAAGGGCTTCGCTTGTCCTCTCAAGGCCGCAATGGGGGGTATTGTCGAGAGATCTTGTGTGCTGCAATGTGGTGCTGGACAACTTCGCAAAGATTGGGGAGTGGCGAAGGGCTCTTTGCACGTTTGGGGATTTGGTGCTGTCTGGGCTACTGCCGGATGTCATCACATGCACCTCCGGCATCAGTGCCTGCGGAAAGGCAAAGTCCTGGTTTCAGTCATTGCTGCTCCTGGAGCGGGCGCAGTTGAATGGCTTGAGGGGTAACATGATTTTGTACAACGCGCTCATGGCTGCCTGGGAGAGGGGCCGGCAGTGGGAGCTAGCTGTGGGAACCCTTGATTTCATGCTGTACCGGAGGCTGGGACCGTCCCTGAATGCATTTGACTCGGCAATGCTTGTGTGCCTGGACAATGGACGCGCCGACCATGCTTGGCAACTTCTGCGTGACTCAAGCACCATGCGATCTCCGGTCTCCTTCCTGTGGTCCATGGCGACGCTGGCAGCTTCTGATCCGGCTGCAATTTATGCTGCCTGCAAAGAAGCCTCTGCATTCCAACAGGAGGACCTGCCCTACCTTGTCTGGTCATGTGCCATGCTTGGGGTGGAGCTTAGCCCACGACTGCGCCTCAGGGCAGAGAGGTCTCTTGCTCCGCAGTTCCTGGCCTCGCTGGATCTTCAGGCTTTGAGCATGGCCGTGTACGGTGCGGCATCTTGTGTGGATTCGGAGGTTCTGTGCGCCTTGCAGGAGATGCTTGGGGCTCGCTTGCGATCTGGCAAAGGAAGACTGAGCTCCTTAAGTTCCTTTGCCTTCCATGAATCGGAGGGCCAGGAGTTGCTGGGGATTTTGTTTTCTTGCAAGTTGGCCGGCGCCTTGCAAGCAGGATTCCGTGAGGCTGTGGCCTGCAAGCTGCAGGATGTGGGGGTGGCTTTTGACCGAATGTATTCTACGAGGAAAAAGCAGGTGCCGTTGCGCTTCAGTCCCTCTCACTACAAGAATCCTGAAGTCATGGCCGACATGAGCGATCGATCTGTTCTGAACAAGCCGGCTGGCTGGGAGGTGTACGGACAGCACGTAAAGCTGCAGTTGTCGGCGTTTGTTGTGGGTGTGTTCGGCCATCGACCTATATTGGAGGATCCGGATCACAACTACGGATTTCTGCACCGTCTCGATGTGCCGAGCTCTGGCTTGATCCTTATCGCAAAGACCTACGAGGCCTTCTACGACCTGCAGGTCCAGCTGCATGCGGGCGAGGTCGGCCGGGACTACGCGGTTCTTTGCCACGGCTGGCTGCCAAGGTCTGTCACACGTATTAGTGCGAGCACAGTTTGCTTGACGGATGCTCCAACCGTGGCTGGGGGCCGTGGGAGGTGGAGTGTGACGAAGCTGTTGTTCTCCCAGCACCGTTCGATGAATCAAAGTGCCCTCACCCATGCATTGCTAAGCATCGTCACAGGAAGAAAGCACCAGATCCGTTGTCACATGGCGCACGTGGGTCACCCCATCGTTCGAGACAAGATGTACGCAAGTCTTTACACCTTTCGGGAAGATGCTGCTCTGTGCATGCGCAACTGGCTGCATCGATTCCGACTTTCCTTCGTGGATGCCAGGGGGATGGCTTGCGAGGTTAAGGTGGAGTTGCCTCAGGATCTGAGGCGGTCGTTGATGACGGTCATGTCCTTGAACAAACTGCGAGCAATTGCTGGTGGACAGGAATGAGCGCAGGGGTGATTGTTTCTTTGTGCAGCAGCCTGTTTGACCGGGGAGCCATCACTTGTACCCGAGGCACAGAGACGAAAGGCGATGCTAGAGGCCGAGCACGAAGACCGTTCATCTCTCAGAAGCTGACAGGGGATGTGATGCGCTCAAGAACCCCGAAAAGCAGAAAGCAGTATGTGGAGCACAGCCGAGGTGTTGTGGGCTTTGTTGGCAGAGGGCGGGCAGAAATTGGATCTTCCGCAGGTGAGCTGCTCGTAGACTCGTTGTAGACATGTTGCGTGAAGAGTTGGCGGCTTCCTTCGGGCTTCTGCTGACAAGGTGATGTCAAGCAAGGGGGCTACGGCAAGGCTCCAGTGCTTCAGGGATGAAAGGCCTTTCCCAGATTTTGCCAAAACATCTTGGGAGGTGCCGACACACAAGAACCCCAAGCTCGACCAGCTCATGAGGCCTTGAAGCGACGGAAGGTGTCTAGAAGAGTTCAGCAAAGCACAGCGACGCTTCTCCTTGGAGGCCCCTGGAGATCGTATCTGCTTTACGCCTGAAGCTCTAAACTCAGCACAATAGCAAAGTGTTTCGGATTCTTCTGTCGAGCTTGGATGTACGGTAGAGGTAGTTGGGTAGGTGCACTGGATTGCTGGAGAACAACATCAAGGTGAGGGCTTTTGCTTGTGCCAGTCTGGCACATCCAGAAGAACTGCGCAGTGGCATGAAGCGGGATGCAGGAGCAGAAGGATCCAGATGTTGAATTCTGTGACGACATGCTCGGAAAGGCCATTCCCGCCATATTCCAGTTTCCTCAGCAGCCGCCACTTGCGAGTTCGAGAGGTTTCCAGATCGTTTGCTGCTGTGATCCGGCAACTGCCAACACAGTTGAGCGGCATTCCTGCATTGTTTGTAGCCCTCGTCTGCGTTGTTTGTAGCCTCGTCTGCCCGTGACAATCTCGGTTCATAGCAAAGGCATCGACATCTGTGTCTTCTACTTGGCAGCTTCCTCAACATCTTTCCTGCCAGTGGTGAGCAGCGAATTTGTTCCCAGTGCCTCTTCAGGCACTGCGTGCTCTAGACACGGTCGAAGATGACATGGAGGCTTACAAAGGCGCGTGGCCCGTGGTGGTCTTGATGCCTCTTGCAGACTCACTTGAATCATGGGCTGGAATTGAACTGTTGGAGACTTCCGGCCGTTGTCGGATGGTCCACCGCAGCGCAAGATCGGTAGTCATGTTGAAACATGTCGAAGCATGTCAAGGCTTCCTGCGTAGACAATACTTGGAGAGTTGTAGAGTCAGCTGTAGAGTCGTTCAGGCCGAGAATCCGAGAAGCAGGAGGAGTTGATCCACTTTGGTGAAAAAAGGCAATCGAGGGAGGTCGATCATATTGTTGGAGCCATCCTGCATCCGCTAGGCTCAGCGACGTCAATTGCAGCATCAAAGGCCAAAATGAGTGTCCAGCAGACCACCTTGGTATTCAGACTCTCGATGTGAGCGCGTCATGTCATATCACGGCCACAAAGCACTGCTGCACTGCTACTCACTTTGGAACTTCGTGTCTTGAGAGCTAGAGGGGAGGAAAAAACCCTTGTAGGTGTCGGGGCTGCAGACGAGCGGACGCTCATAGAAAACTTTGGACGCGTGGCCCGTGACTTAGTCGAAGCAAAACTTGAGAGCTCTACTTTGCGACCACTGATGGTCTGGCCATGTACTTTTTCTGCGAGCCTCTCAGCCTGACAAAAAAAATACAAGTGTGCACTGCGACATCGCATGGTCTTCATGCTTTGCAATGGCTTGTATGTGCCTAGTGCGAGGTCAGGGAACAATCTCTTGGCCGGTGGTATCTTGTAGTACTGATAAGAGCAGTTCACACTGGGCGTCATGAATGGCTGACAATGTACATGCGGTAGCTTGTATCCATTGTATCCATCAGTGTGCTGTTAGCATTGCCGTGTGTCGGGGGTCTTTCCTGGCATTTGTCTCTTCTTTCATTTGCCCCAAGGCGAAAGTTTTCCTGAAGCTTCCTGCAGGCCTGGGCTGCGCTGTAAGAGCATTGAGGGAGGAAATTTCAGTTCCAGTCACCAGGGTTTTAAGCAGTGGTGCGTTGTTTAGATGGTTAATTCTTCTACATCTTGCGTGAGTCCTGTCGAAGAAGGCAAATGTATGGGGCATATATCGTGAAAATGAACGCTTGTTGCTGATAAAGGTCGCTCACTGTCGCGTAAGAATCATCCTCCAGTAATAGCAGTTCTGCTAGGGCATCTGGATGCATCTGGTGTGGTCAGGCAGCAAAGACGTAATCAAAGACATCACTGACAAGATGGGTGCGGGCATGGCAGAGTACGTGTGGTCCTTGGCTGTTTGCATGGCACCTGCTAGCGATGGTCGCTCCAGCGTTTTCACCGAGGTGTCTGCAAATCTTGCACAGGGAACTGTGGACCAAGCGGCTTACGACCGTCATGCCGGCAATTTGTTGACTGCTTAAGAGGCAGGTGCTAACTTCAACATGCTACCTGTGAGTAAAAATCCAAGTGCCAAAGAAACCAATACAATTGAATGCTTTGTCTGCGCATCCTGCTGCTTCAGCCAACCTGAATGCACCTCATGAACCCTCTTGATCAGATTGGCAGGTTACTGTCACATGGTTGCGGGCCTTGTTGGGGAGGGCTTGACGAGGATCTTTGTTGCCAGTGGACTTGACGCTTGGTGGCACCGAAGCACAGTAGCACGTGTGACGATGGAAACAGACGTACATGAACTAAGACGAAGAGGATAGATGGCATGTTTTGACTTGCTAAGGAAGGGGCGGATCTTGCGGGCCAAGGCCCGAACCAGCACAGAAAATCGCACATCCGCGTCTGCTCCTTCTGCCAAGCTGGCAATCTTTTGTTGTGGTTCCGAGTCGTTCTGAGCCTCCGTGTGCAGCGAGAGGTGAGCGGAGCTGGCCCTTTTGTGCCCCTTGCTCAGCTCAGATTCGCTGGGTTTTGTTGTCCCCTCTTGGAAGCTTGGCCATCGAGGCCGATCCAAAAGAGGAGCCCTCGAACCTGGGTGCGCTTTCTCGGGGTGCCGAATTAGGAGCAGCAGCATGCAGAGGGCTTCTTTTGGGCTGCAGAGATAATCGCAGACAACGATCTCAGGTCTGGCCAATTCCATGGGCCTTTTCTTGCAGAAGACAAACATCATCCGTGACTACCTGGAAGATTATGTCCCGATCCCGGAAGAAGTTGCAGGTGCTCTTTGCTTTGATTGCCGACAAGACGAGGATGCTGCTGTCATGACTCACTCACCACCTGGCAAGTTTGCATGTCCGGGCAAGGTAGATGGACGTGCCTTTTGGCCTCAAACGGTCTCTGCCTCGGTTTGGGCATTATCCGGCCTCTGAAGGCAAAGCAAACACGGCTCCAGACGTGGCAAGGTCTGGAAGAGCTATGCTTGCTCCAATGACCTGGGCGAGTTTGCGCTGCCCACAGCCCATGCAGCAGGTGTGAGGGGGGGGAACGCTAAACCCTCAACCCTCAACCCTAAACCCTAAACCCTAAACCCTAAACCATAGACCCTAAACCCTAAACCCTAAACTTTGGCTACGGCTACTGGGCCTCGATTCGGTGCAGGAGCCCGCCTTGCAGTGAAAGCTGGTGGCGAGAATCTTGCCAAAGGTGTTGGTGACCAGGCTCGAGTGATGCCCCGCGCCTCACATCCTCTACAGTATGCATAGTATACATATATAGTACGCATATGTACGTATACCGTTTATTCTTCCTTCAAACGTAGGAGATTACCAACGGGTAAGCTTCTGGAATGACGGCGAAGCCTCGAGTACCAACACCAACAGAACAAAGCTTATTCGCGCTGGCCAACATCTCACGTCGCGATCCAATTTTTCAACAACGATAGACCTTGCCTTTTGTGTGCCATGGATAGTTTTTGTCTGTTTGTGGCGTGCATTAATGCACAAGATTGTATCGAACCTTTGGTCCGTGAATCCTTACACCCTCTAGGCTGCTCCTCCATGAAACCAGCAGGTTAAATAGGGTATGAAACCAAGCAGGTTAAATAGGGTATGCAAACATCAGGTCGTGGCTGGTATCTCCTGCTCTTATATTCTTGCAGGGTTTATAGCCATAGCGGAATGCCCTTATGCGGCCACAGGTCGTGGCTTGAATCTCCTGATCTTGTGTAGCATGTACCCCCCCCCCCCCAAAGCAAAAAGCAAATAGCCTACGGTTTGTAGCCGCTACAAGCAAATGGCTGGCGAAAAGCAAAAGAACTCAGAATCGCAGCAAATCTATGTTTTGTGAAGCTTTAATCTGTTCTACCACCAGATTTGCATGACGCCGTTCTGTAATGACGTTTTTCGTGTGCAGCCATCCCAACGAACCGCCATGCACAACTATAGGGTTTAAGAGAGAATGCCCCTACTGATAGTCCCACCAAAAACTTAGATGTGTGAGGTCATTTGGCAATGGTCATTTCTTTCACACAAGATGCTTCTACACGATATTTTGAATTTCAAAGTTGACATTGGAATACCCATGTACTGTCAATAGAGTCAGATGATGATCTCCCCAAAAGGTGTCTGAACAGATTATGTTTGTAGAGCCGACAGTATAACCTCCTCGACATCAGAAATATGTATGAGGGTATTGCATTCGAAGCGACTGGCCGTTTGCACAAAAGCCTTTTTGTTGTGAATCATTTGGATTTGCAAAGTTGCCGCGGATTGGAAAATGGCTTAGAGAGTTATTGGGAGTTGTTACGGCGACCTGCTCTTAAAAACGATAGGCTTGTACTGACGAGTTGTCATGTGCATGGTAGGGCTTGTCAAGGGTCTTCACATGAAGTGAAACAAGTATACGCACGACGTGTGCACATGTAGTTATGGAAATATCAAGGTAACTTACACATGAAAAAACCACATAAATTATGCATATATTTGTTTATGTGCACCATACATATACGTGTATACCATATATCATATATACATATAGATACAAAGACAATATAAATGCAAATATACATACAACTACACGCATACATGAATATGAATATACATAAACTATGAATCTAAATGGTTGGATATATATATATATATCTATATACACACATATGTATATACATGATGTACGTTTTCGCAGCATATGTACACATGGAGCCCGTCTCAGAAGAACCATACAGCCATTGTGCAGAGAGCTGGCGAGTTTTTATCAGTCAGTCAGCGGAGACTGTTTGATTGAGGGCTGCTTTTCTCGTTTAGACATTTTGGGATGCTGTTTGTGCGCTTATGTCATGCTGGTAGTTGCTGTGTTTCTGTTAGATTCAGGGCATGCAGAGAATGGGGAGCAGTGCAGGGCGAGAAGGAAAGGGCAAGTGCACGCGAGCGGAGAAAATTCTTGTTTGTTGTTAGGACTTGGCGGTAGGGTTTAGCATCTAAGGGTTTCAGGGTTGAGGATTGAAGAAAGACTTCTTCACTTGCGCATACAAGTGCAACCTTCTAGCTGACTGGATGAGAGAAGAGGCCCTGCTGTGCCTGAACGACTTGGTTGCAGATGCGCTGGAGCTAGTTCCAGACTCGCTGGAGTGCGCCACTTGCGAGAGCTCTGCAGTTTTATCTGCACCTGCTTGTCGCCCTTGCCAGTTTCGTGCCCGCAATTTGCGGTGCATGGCGGACAGGTACTTGGAGCGTGCTGCTCGAATGCAGAGAAGACAGCAGATGGCTCAAAGAGCTCATGACATCCAGAGAACGCAACATCCCGGAGGTGAAGACGCCATCCATCTACAGATTCTGCGCCATCCCTCAGGCATGGCTGGACCGCACCTTTTGAGTTGCGGCAAAAGCCTGGGCCAGTCATCCTGAGGTGATGGCCATCGCAACCTTAGCCGAGTGTTTTGACAACCCCCGGGTGTGTGCCGCCCAGTGGGTTCGCTGCTCCATGGTCTGATTTTATCGATGCTTTGGCACAGAGGTTCACTGGCGTTGTCAAGATTCGCAAAGGGCTGACTGCCCGTCTCATTGTTGCCTGTTGCGATGGTCCTGATGCCGTGCAGACCCAAGAAGGGCAAAAGTAGCTTGTCAGCTAGTGTGATGCAGATGTAGGCAGCTTTTGGCAAGGTCCACTTTTGGTTCCGATCCTTTGCTGAAGACATTCTGTCATCAGTTTCGCCCGATGCCCGGTGTTTTCAGAACATGATTTTGCAGATGCTTTCCTGCTTGGTCTTCAGGCATCTCATCGGCTGCATTCCACGCCCCCTCTCCTGCATTCTTTGCTCTGTCTGCACAGGCAGGGCAAATGTGCCGGAGCTGACGGGCCCATCGGCAGACGGCTCGAGAAGGGCTGCGCACGCATCCTGGAGAGGACGGTCAGGGATGCGGATCTGTTAGACCTTGACGCCTTCATTGCGCATGAAAGTATATGAAAATCTTGGCTGTAACAACTACTTTGTGCGATCGAGCATGTGGCCAAGCCTCGGAACTGCAGAGGACGCAGAAACGATCAGAAGCGTGGAGCAGCAAGCAGACGCAGGTCGGGTCTCCATGGCAATGTGCCTCAAATTCTGTCCGCTTCTGTCTGCATGTGCTTTGCCTGGCACGCTTGCCATCAGAAGCGCTTCGTGGCTGGCGCTGTCACCGCCCTGGCAGCTACGACCTTATCCAGAAGACAATGTTGCAGCCAGCGATGACAGGAGGAACCATCAGCCATGCTTGGAGCCAAGCACCAAGAGACTGCACCCCAGGTGTCGTCTCTCTTCCTGCGCAATGCCGACCACAGCTCCAGGCTCGAACCTCAGCCAGCAGTGGGGGCTTCTGCTTCACTTGTGAAACTTGTCAAGGTAAGGCCAAGCTCATCAAGTGAGCTTTGCAGCCTAAGCTTTTGCGATGCTGCCAAGTAGCAGCCAGACCTACACTTCTTGTTTGAGTCGTATTTGCGCACACCCCGATCCGCATCAGTGCGGCTTGAAGGCTGTTGCAGCAAGTTGTAGCGTAGGTCCTCTTGTGGCTGGCATATCTTCCAGCTAGCTTTTCAAGCCTGTCATGCGGGCCCTGCCCGCAATGCAGCACATTCCAGATGCAGATCTTGCACATCTGATGTCCAAGCCCCCTGCATAATGTTGCAGCTTCGTGGCTGGACTACAGAGGCGCAATGCTCGCCTTAGGTGCTGCGAGAGAGGCAGCTTCCGCTATGCTCTCGGGCAGTCTCCTAGCATGTGAAGAAATCTGGGGCCAACAAAAATCTGGGGACAATGAGACTTCCCCTGTTGCTCGCATGGCCAAAGTTTTCGCAGTTTTCCTTTCTCGGGCCCTGGGGACTCTTCGCGTCTCATCGCGCTGTCCTCACTGTGAGCCTTGTGTTAATCCACCTGCCACGACTGGCGCTCATATGGCCTCAGAAGCAGGGCCAGCAGCGAGCGGTTTACAGCCGCCCTCAAAAGATTTGTGCTGCAAATTGAAGAAAAACCCTCAGGAGTGATGACGTTTGTTTGTACATTTCGTACGGCTTCTTTGGCCTCGTGTCTTTGACAGCAGTAGTCGGCCAACTTCGGTGTTCTTGGATTGGGAGCTGGACTGAGAGGGCATTTGGAATGCACCAGGCAAAGTGGGCGAGCTCTCACAGACTGGCCCCATGAAACTAGAGGAGCGGCGAGTTGCACTCGGATCTTGCTGTGCCCGTGCCAGCTTTGTGGCTATATGCCATGCCCTCAGACTCTAGCAAACTGTCCAAGCACTCTGTCGCGTCTCAGCCCAACCGCACGAGCATTTCAACTTTTAACCTTCCGGCCACCTGAAACCACACTTGGAACTTAGCTTTATTCAGCCAAACGCCTTTGCTATGGCGGCCACGAGCGAAAGCCTGGCTGGGTGACCTTCTACACGGACTTGTCATGACTGTTAGAGCGAGCCTGGGAAGTATCGCTTGTGCTTCACGGCCTAAGCCTCAATCATGAGGTATTACTTAAATATGTTGGGAATTCGGAGCTGTTCGGAATTCGGAGTTCCAACGCAACCCTTCACTGACTAGTGTAAGCTGCGGGAGACAAGGTGGGTGCAAGGGGGGGGAGAGCGTAAATGGTCAAGTCCCAACAAACGGAGTAGCTCGTCGCTCAGTTCAAGCAGCTCGTACGTTCATAGAACGGCGAGTGGCCTCGCTGCACAACTCGCGGTAGCAGTAGCAACACCGGCAGTAGCAGCAGTATCTGCAGTAGTAGCAGCACAAGTGGCAGCTGCACCCATCCGCACCTTTCAAGCGAGCGGCTTTCCTCAACCCATCCGACTTACTTCTACCTTGTGGCGTGTGACCTGCGTAGCAACAGGGTTTGATGGGGTTGCGCTTCTCACCTCATGCTGGCGCCTGGCCATTAAATGTACTTGACGGCACAAGCAGAGTAGCATAGTGAAAGTGCTTAGCCGGGCTTGGCTTCTTCGAGGTACGTCTTGGTCCACGTGCTTGAGGTTGTCCACGGGCGTGACCTGAGCGATGTGTCCTGTGAGGACTCACACTGAAGTTGGGAAAAGAGGGACTTGGGTTTGAAGACTGGCGCTCCACTGTGTACGGGCTTGCCCCCTGATCAGCTCACGCTTGCGGACGCAACGGCACAGTGTCCTGTGGCGGCCTGAGTTCTGTAGTTAGAGCCTTCTAGACGGGTGGAAGCACTTCTACCCATGTTTTGGTAGGTGTATGTTGGCAGCCTTTCAGACTGTGATCGAGGTGTTATGCGAGAACACAATGCTTGTGTCAGGTTCCGTCCACTCTGGAGGGTGAGAACATCTTACTGCCAGTCTGGCGCTTGTATTGCATCTGTCGCATCTGAATCTCGGACAGGTATGCGTAGTAGTGGCATGGTGCCAGTGCATGACTTTGCCTTACTCGTGATCAGATGGGTGGCGTCGAGCCCGTCATTCACGTGCATGCCCGCGATTCCATGGGCAACTCCGTAGGCTCCGGGGCTGGTCAATCTTGCTGCTCATGCCTCACGTGGCAGCGTTCGCGCTTGCAAATCCGGATGTCCGGGGTCTGCTGGTTTCAGCGATTGTCAGAGCAAGAGCACCAAATCAAAGGATTCTATCCCACACGCGTTGGTTCGCAGGCATCGTGGTGGTGCCGATCAGCGAGCTAGTTCCATTGGAGGTCGAGTTGAGCGAAGTGTGATGATGTCAATGTATTCAATGTCATGAGCCTTGAAGGTCTGGGACGTTTGGTACGCCATGGACGATGGCAGCGACGAGATGGATGAGAAGCCTCCAGAGGCAGCTTTCATGCCCCGTAAAACCCGACAAGGACGAGACTGAGAGCCCTCATTCGGAGGAGACGCCAAAGATGCACCTCCTGCTGCAGAGCGTACCCCTGGAGGCTTGCCTTTGTACGATTCATCAGGTTCATCAGCGGGAGCTTCTTGGGGACATGTGAGCGCTCATTTTCTCCCAGTGGCCAGGCAGCTACGCAAGAGACCAAGCAGTCGCGAGATGTGCGAGCACAGGATGACGATACAGCATGATACGCGTTCATTTGAGTCTGCGGAGGTATTGGATAGGGATAGGGAAGTCTCCTGGCATGCGTCGGCATCTTCAGGGGAGCCAACCACAGGATTCACGGGGCAATTGTTCTGTAGGACTTCCTTTTGAGAGCTCTTCAGCAGCTGAATGCGGCCCTGGAGGCGAAGGCCAGACTGTCGTATGTCATCACGTTTGCGCAGGAATCAGCAAGTCAAGCGTGCACTGCCTAGCCGCCGATCCACAAAGCTGTTCAGGTCCAGGAGCAAGTCCCAGGTGCGGCCCTCTTCCTCGCATCGCTGGGTAATTCTCACGGGTTTCGACGCAGTTTTGCGTACATGGACCACGATCGCAGGGCCAAGTCATCCTGACGCCTTGGAAGCATGAACCCGATGACAGTACCTCTCGAACTTTTCGGCCGCAGGCGCCGCGATGTCAGGCCGCTCTGCAAGCGCCCCAAGCGCAGGTGCGGCATCGGCTCTTGTGATGTCGGTGCTTCTTTGCGTGTGGCCACGTTCCACATGCTTTTGCCCGAGGAGCCCCCCTCAGGCCCTCGACAGCGCCGACAGCGCCCGGATCCCGGCGGAGGGAGGCAGAACTCCAACTAGGGAACGGTTGTCCCGAAAGCATTTGTGAGCCGCGATGAAGGCCTCGTGATACTTTTAGGCTTTAGCAAGACGAAACGTTAGGAAGACGATGCGACGACACGGTACAGCATCAAAATTTCGAGGACGCCCAGGCGCCAGCGTCACCACACCCCGCTTGCACCGAGAGGGTCGTCGTTTGTTCCAGATTTCCCAGGACGCCCCAGGCGTCAACGTCACGACACCCTGCGAACAGCAAGAGGGTTGTCGTTTGCGCCCAAAACTTCGAGAGGGCGCCCCACGTGTCAGCGTCACGACACCGAGAAGGTTGTCGTTTGCGCTCAGAATTTCGAGGGCGCCCCACGCGCCAGCTTCACGACACCTCGGGGACCGAGCCAGCGTCACGACACCCTGCGGCCACCGAGAGGGTTGCGGTTTGCGATGAGAGTGTCGAGGACGCCATGAGCGCCAGCGATTAGTTGATTACCAACATATCTCACGCCATCACGACATCCATGACGACATCCATCATGACATCCATTGCGTCATCCATCCATGCATCAACAATACCGACAATCTTATCGAAGACCACTTCCGCTGCAAAACCCTCGCCGTGCAGTGCTTTCTGGAAAAAGGTCTCCAACACGAACTCCGAAAAAGATCCGAGCTTCAACCACCTCTCCCCATGGCTGCTTTGATCTTTCGGAGCAGCCACTCAGGCCCCGACGAGGCGGGCGACCGGGCGAGCGCTCCAGCGGAGAGCGCCCCGGCGAGCGCTCCAGTGGCGACCGCAACGGCGAGCTCCGTCCGCTTCGCGCGGCCGGAGCCCTTGGCCCTCGGCGGCCAGGCGGGTGGCCGGGTGGCAGAAGGTCTGAGTAAGACAGATATATTTATTATTATATATATATATAGATAGTGCAGTGAGATCCATTGTGGAGAAGTGCAGAGAAGCACAGAGAAGTAAACTCTGTGAAAGGTGCCGGAAACCACACGCCACAGGCACGACCACAGGCCCGGCTGGAATCACAGTTGTCACATGTACATGCCATGATATGCCAGATGTGCCACATCCTCAACAGTCCCCCATGCTAGGTGGGGATTCAGGGCAGTGATGCCAAAAAGATGCCATGTAGGTCTGAGCATGCCATGCTTAAATGCACGCTGTGAACGTGCGCACGGCAAGTTCAGTGTTGCTCGGTGGGAGGGGGAGGGGGAAGGAGTACGTTGCGTCATTGTGTGGCATGGAAGGAGGCCACGCCTGCGCCCGAGCCGATCAACGGTGCGAGCGGCGCAAGTGGCCTGAGTGCGGAGGAGAAGGAGGAAAGGCAGCGCGCCCAGGCCTGGCCCGAGCATGAGTCGGTTCTTGCCTGGATTTGCCTGGTGTGTGAAAGATGCTTCGCAGTACACCGAGACGTCTCATGCCGTGTGTCCCAGGAGGAAGCGTTTAAGCTTCGCCTCGAGCCCTATGAGCGGGCTATTGCAGCCATGGAGCAGAAGCAGAGGCAGGAGCATGACACATGGGCAGTCACGTCTCACAAGAGGCAGAGATATGCTTAGTCTGGTGGCCGCCTGCCTTGAGATATCAGCATTCATGGGTGTTCATGGGAGGCTCTACGATGACCAGGAGGCCCGCATCCTCGCCTTGTCGAAGGCGCTGGAGGAGCGAGTGGCGCAGTGGCAGACCATCTGGCAGAACTCGGAGTGCTTTGCAGGTTTTGGTTCTTTTGTCTCTGCAGGAGCAGCAGGGGCGTTCTGGACACCTTGTGGCGCAACTCCGTGAGGAAGCCGATCGTGCTAAGGCGGAGGCAGGACATTGCTCCGAAGTTCCAGCTAAACGCCCACATACTGTATACGGCCAAAAGAGTCCTAGGACCTAGGACCGATTCTGGCCCATTCAGGCCGAGCAGGAGCGCGAGTCGCTCCGCGAGGTCGCTGGGCGGCTTCCATTGCAGAATATGCACTCCCGTTCTCTTTGACGGACAAATGTTGCCAGGACCAGACTGCACACCAGTCCGAAATAATACATGTTTTGAGGACTGGATGAACTAGTTAACTAGTCACTGGTTACTAGTTACTAGTAAATGCTTTACAAAGACCTGCTTTGGGCAGGTCACCGCATCTCGCACATCTGCGCAGCAGCGGGCTGCAGAGTTGGAGCAGGAGGCCTGAATGGGTTGGTTTGGTTCTTTCCTTCTGGGTGTTGCACAGTAGCAGGGTCCTTAGAGCTGATGTGCCTCGGCAGCTGGCCAGCTCCCACACCACCCCCGGACCCCACAAGCCGAGCACATCCAACGATACGGACGTGCCGTTTGGATGAGCGCTGGCAGGTCGCCTTGCGGCGGTCTCACGAGGCCTAGTGGACGAGCAGGGTACTGAGAGACACAAGAGAGCGTGGGTTTAATATCTGGACCACCCCCCATCGGTGTATTCTGTTCACCACAATACGTGCGCGCGGGCTACGTGGGGAGGCTCCGGCCCTCAAGCCCCAAGGAAAGAAAGAAAGAAAAAAAGGAAAGAGAAAAAATAAAGAGAAAGACAGAACAAGAAGGAAAGAAGAAGAAAGAAAGAACATATAGAAAGAACAATAGAGAAAGAAAAATACAAAGATAACAAAGAAAGAAAACGAAAGAAAGAAAACTAAAGAACGACAAAGACATACAGGAAAAACAAAGAAAGCAAAATACAGAAAGAAAGCAAGAAAGAAATAACCAAAACAAGAAGAATAAACAAAGAGGCCTCCAAAACTGGTCCGCTTGGCCATCGCGGCCGGGTTCCCCTGGAGGGGCTCTAAAGAGAAAGGTGGCAGGTACGCGGGGATAGGGGAACACCAGGTGTCAAAGTTTGAACCCGGATTTTTTCAAGCCGGCAGCAAGGGAGAGCCATGCAAGCCATCAACGACTGTCTGTCTGGTACAACAGTGAGGGGAGGGGACTATGTGGCACCCATCCTGATCGACCGCCGGTTTCCGAATCAATTTATCACCCCAAACAGGGGCGAGCAGACTTCCCCGGGGGCCCAACCCTCTTAGCCCCATCAAGGAAAGAAGAAAAGAAACAAAAGAGATGAAAGGAAGAAAATGAAAGAAGTCAAAGAAAGAAAGGTCAGTGACCAGTCGACTGTTGGCTCAGATTCATCTTGAGGTGGGAGGCGAGCTCAGTCAGACTGTGACAAAGGGGGCCGGCAGTCTGCTAGCTTTGGACGGGGGGTCCTGGAGGGGGTCCACCGACCTCAGGGGAAGAGTGCCGCAGTCCTTGGCCAGTTTGCTATGAGAATTTGTGAGCCGGAGGAGTCGCTTCAACATCGTCTTGCGCTGTTGGAGACGCAGGTCGCTGCCGCCCGCGACCCCAGCTCCCGCAGCGCTTGGCAGAACTGCACCTGTTCTGTTTTGGCATCGCTGCTTCGCTATGTTTCTGAAAGCAGCTCTGTCAAGACAGCTGTTTCCCGATTGAGATCAGGCCAGCCAAAAGAGCTTGGCAGCACAGGCCATGGAAGATGAGGCCCGGAATGCGCCCTCATCTCTTCGATTGCTCGGCAAACGGATGCTCGTGACGTCCTGACTTTCGCCACATCTTCGGCCCCCCAGAGTCTTGCCACTAGTATAGCGTCTCCCCGTGCTGTTTATTTTTTCAGAGGCGCAAAAAGCACTGGCAGACGTGGAGGGCCTGCGGAAACAGCGGCAGAGGCTGCAGGAGCAGCTACAGGACTGTGGGAGGATCTTGTGGTTCCACATTCAGTGTGCTTATGGATGCTTCTGGGCAGCGCTCCCGTGCTACAGGCAGTAGGCATTGATGTGACAGCACGAATATTTCTCCCCAAACCGTGCTCTGGAACCCTGGACTCCAGCAGGCGTTCGAAGTATGCAACACGGAAATGATTCGAGCCGAAAGGGGATGACTGAGGCTGAATGCGGATGCATATGGTAGGCTCATGTCGATGCCAACAGATTTGTTTTTTTGGGAGTTCCCGCGGTGCAACAACACAGTTGTGGCGACCCTGAGACCCGAACCGTGAAACCCCAAGCACAGAACGCCACAACAGCCTAAGATCCCGAGAGGCAAATGCAGTGCCCGAAGAGCTTGTACCATTTTACCTTAAAAGCCCTAGAAGCCCAAAACCCTCCAGAAGCACCAGCAACCAATGCCGAACCAACTCAACTAAGATCCCGGAGCCCCAAGTCGGGCCCATAGCCCCCTCAAAGACCTTAGAAGCTTAGGGTTTAGGGTTGAGGATTTTAGCCCAAGGGAAGCCATTGTTAAACTCGCTTGCCTCGGGAGGAGCAGGGTCGGGAGCTGTCCGAGACGCGCGAGGAGAACTGGCAGCTGAAGGAGGATCATCTGGAGGGCCGATCTTGGGCGTAAGATGTGTAAGGTTTTGTGGGTGTCTAGACAGTCGTTAAAGGAGGCTTTCTAGGGCCTTTGGGGAATCAATAGCTCTTGGGGTTGGTTTGGGGTTATGTGTTTGGTTTAGTTCGGGGTGCAAGACGGCGGCTTTATCGGGGCTTTTCATACAAGATGACTCGGCACACAGGTCATGACACCTCTGATACTGTCTGGGGTCTGTGCAGAGGACCGTGGTCATGAAATCGAGAAGGCAGGAAGCTCTACTCTAGCTGTGTCTCTGGGAGCTGTGCTCTTTAGGCCGGCTGCTCATGCCTCTGTTAAGCTGTGCGCCATATACGGCTTGCGCAGCAGCTGTCGTATCCAGTTACCCAGTCAGGCACGCGCCATCTCAGAACGAGACATCTTGGCCAAGGACACATGGTGACGCAAGTGTGCATGTGCTGAGACGTAGAAGCAGTTGGTTCGCGTAGTCGCCAACCAAAGATGTCTCTCGCTTCGGCACGGCTGCCCTCGATTGTGTATCTATGTCTATGCAACCGCCTGGCCGTGCTTGGGCATTATTCTGTCGCAAGAAAGCAGGTCCTCTCAATCGAAACTTTCCGAATCACCTGCCTTGCGTGCTGTGGTGGCCTATCCAAACACTTGAGTGATGATTCGCCAGCTTCACGTCCGCCACCAGCCCCCAACCAGCTTCTTGATGCGTGGTTCAGGTACGGTCAATATTATGGGGTCCCAAATTAAGTCCCCAAATGCATCCATCACGGTGGTAATGCTTCGGAAGTGAGGAAGGGAGGGAACAGCTGAGTCTGGAGAAAGCAGATCGGTGGGCGCCCCGAGTTGGAAAGATCATGAACTGATAGCAACCGGTTAGGCACACCAAGAGTTGCACAGCTCAGAAGTGGCAAGCAATGCTGAAGGACAGGGAGGGTAGTTCAGGGACTGCAGGGGTCTGCGGATGACCTGCAGGAGAGCATGCAGCTTGAAGTCCTTCAGCTACAAGACCAGCTGCGCGACAAGGTGCGTCAACAGTGCTTGTATTGCTAGCCCTTCAGGTGCCTTCAACCCATCGGTTCTGTTCAAACAGAAGGTACTCCTCAGCTCACGAAAAGATTTTTATGATGGGAGATTTGATGATAGCGTCATGCATACTCTTGCAAAAAGGAGGCGGAGACACGCCTGGCACTGGAGCGCGCGGAGGGCTCGCAGCGCCGCGTGGAGACCCTGGAGGGGGAGGCCAGTCCTCTGTGGGCGAAGCGTTTGCCAGGATGCTTGGAGTATATGAATTTTTTCGGTTCTGGCGAGAGAGTGGTCATTCTGTGGTCATGTAGGGCAGCAACTTTCGTGCTGAGCGCCAGGTTTCTTCGCTTCAGTCGCTTTTGGCGCGGGAAAGGCAACTGTCCGGTGCAAGCAGAGGGTTTGCTCTTGCGCGATATCCAAATCCACTAGGGATGCCGCCCTACGACAGAAAGAGGTCGCAAATGGTCCTTCTCAACATGACATAACCGAGTATTCAAAGCTCTTCTGGCTGCAGCACCGCTGTTGTCTGCAGAAGTCGGGTCCAGCATGTCCAGCTTACCTGCCTCGTCAAGGCAACACCGGGCGGAGCTCGATCAAAAGCTCAACGAGACGGACAGTTGAGCTTCGAAGCATGAATCAATCGAAGGGAAGTTGAAAGGAAGCACAAGGAACTTGCAACGGAAGATAGCAAAGCGGGTGGTTGCCTTGAGGAGATGCAAAAACTCCACTCCACACTCGATGCTGCGAGCCTAGGGGGGGCCTTTAGAGCCGGTAGAAAGCTTTGTGGCACACGGATGGCCAGAGTTAGAGTCGGACATGCCAAGGAGCATCGGGTTCTGGTCAGGGGCCTGAGGATCGACCTGGAGAAGGCTGGACCATGCAGCATGCTTGCCTATAGAACGTGTGGTGATACTTGGAGAGCAGAGCAGCTTGCTCGAAACCTTGTGGTGCGACCTTCTAACCAGGCTCGGCAAGAGCTCAGTGATGAACGAGGCCCTCTTGGTGAGCACATGCTTGGTGATCGCAGACTTGTGATGCGTTGTGAGTTTTGGCATATGAAGAAGCAGTCGATCGTTTTCTCTCGTGGCTCCATCTCAAGCATTTGTTGCTGCCCGTGCTTTACCCTGCGTCCTTTGCTGCTTTGCTGTAGAGATGTCTTCCCAGGGATACAAGGCAGAGGCAGCCCCCGCCGCGGGGATGGAGGTGACAGACACCCATTCCGTCAAGCCGCAGAAAACCCGAGTCTCTGAGGAGTTCAAGCAGCTGGAGAAGAATGACCGTCTCCTCAAGGAGAACCCTCGCCGCTGGGTCATGTTCCCGCTGCAGTACCCGGAAGCCCGGGGCTCTGAGTTTTGCAAAGCTTGAGCATGCTTTTTAGCCGAGCAGACAGTCAGTGGAACCGTGGAACCTCGCGTCTTGTGCTGGTCCGGCAGCTGAGGTCTGGGAGATGTACAAGAAGCATGAAGCATCCTTTTGGACCGCTGAGGAGATTGACCTGGCGCAGGACAACAAGGACTGGGTGACCATGAACGAAGGCGAGCAGCACTTTGTGAAACACGTCCTGGCCTTCTTTGCTGCATCTGACGGCATCGTCCTCGAGAATCTGGCGTCGCAATTCTCCACGGAGGTGCAGATTCCTGAGGCCAGGGCCTTTTACGGCTTCCAGATTGCCATGGAGAACATCCACTCGGAGACTTACTCGCTCCTCATTGAGCAGTACATCAAGGACCCTGCAGAGAAGGACAGCCTCTTCGATGCCATCCACACCATGCCGGCCGTTCAGCAGAAGGCTCTGTGGGCCGTGCAGTGGATGAACCGCGAGAGCAGCTTTACCGAGCGACTGGTGGCCTTTGCGGCGGTGGAGGGGATCCTGTTCAGCGGCTCCTTCTGCGCCCTCTTCTGGCTCAAGAAGCGCGGCCTGATGCCAGGGCTGACCTTCTCCAACGAGCTCATCTCGCGCGATGAGGGCCTCCATGCAGACTTTGCATGCCTTCTCTACGGCATGCTGGAGCATAAGCTGCCAGAAGACGTTGTGCACGAGATCATTCGAGGTGCTGTGGAGGTGGAGCGTGAGTTCATTTGCGGGGCACTGTCCTGCGACTTGATCGGCATGAACAAGGACCTCATGACTCAGTATATTGAGTTTGTCGCAGATCGCCTGTTAGCGGCCCTAGGTCACAGCAAGATCTTCAACTCTTCAAATCCTTTCGATTGGATGGAGATGATCTCCCTGCAGGGCAAGACCAACTTCTTTGAGAAGCGTGTGGGAGAGTACCAGAATCTTGGCTTTGAGCAGGAAACTTTTGCACTTTGCACTTTTTACACTCGGCCAAGGTTGTGTTTTGCAGGGGGGGGGGGGGGGGGGGGCGCAGCTTGCTTGTGCAAGCAAGTCGGGCGGGTAGCCTTAGCGGTGACAAAGTGGCAGAGCACACGAGGGGGAGGGGGTGTAGGGGGGGAGGGGGAATTTTTGCGGGGAAGTGTCCGAGCCGGTGCCATCTCGAGGAAGGCGGGTATCATGGCGGGCCAGTCTGATCCTCTGACAGCCTTCGCGCTGGACAAGGACTTCTGAGAGGGGCCCCCTTGTTGAAAAGGGGGAGACTCCCCTGAACCCATGGTGAAGAGAGGCCCAAGCTGGAAGGATATGGGGATGGCCAATCAACGAGTGCTCGATTGGCATTGCTTCCAGCCCTCCGACATAAAGTCGGATTGAGTTTTTTGTGCCTTCAGGGCGGACACTCTAGGATGCTGAATCGGGTGGCGCGCAGCTACCCATGGCAGCCAGCAGTTTGTTAGGTGAAATCGTTGACTTTTCCTAGACTCTTTGACTTAGACACAGGGCTGCCTTTTGTGAGGCAGCGCTGTGGGCATTCTAGGCAGTCCAAATAGTCCAGGCTAGATGCTGGTAGCCGCTTCGGTCGGCATGCAGCACTGGCCAAGCAGAAGCAGAGAAGGGACTTGGTGACTTGCTTCCCTTTCTACGCCTCTCCGCGCCCGTCGCGAGAAATGTTGGCCAGAGCGGTGCAGACTTGGATAGAGTCACGTATGTGTAGATTTTGATCCCTTCCTTTTGGTCAGCCTTGGGAGCCAGGTCGGACTAATGCCATGGAGACGGAGATGGCGGCCGCAAAGAAGGAGAGGGTGCAACCAGCGTGAACGGGAATCTAGCCAAGTTGCTGCTGCAGCTGGTTTGCAACAGCACTGACAGCACGTGACAGACCTGGCTGTCTCCTTCTCGCTCTCCATGTGCTATTTTTAGGAGTGCTTTTGAGGATGGGGTTTGCTCTTGAGGAGCTCGTTCGTGGCCAAAGGCAGCTGGAAGAGCTCCGGCACGGAACTCAGCGGCACCTAAAGCAGCGCAGCTCGTCATGAGCCATCTTCATATTCGCTTGAGCGGCACCGCTTGTAGCCTGGTGGAGCCTGATCTCCTCGGTACAGTACTATCGAGTCCGAGATGAAAGACAACAAAAATGCATCCAAAAGGGTATGAGGAAAGGAATTCTGGGTTGTGGCCTGCGAAGCCGCTGTCCAGGGTTCTTAAGAGACAAGAGGAAAGGGATGAAAGGGCAGGTGCAAGATACTTGGAGAGTGCAAAGACTCGGTCCCAAGACCCAGCGAGGCCTAGGGCCAAGGTGTGCAAGAAGTAGCTCGGGAACTCGCCCCTACTTGGCTCACACCCTCTGACTCTCTTCGATAGGTCCAGGTTCGTCAGAGTCCCATGAAGCCAAGCAACTAAGAAGGGGAGAGTCTGATGATCACGTGGGATTGCACTACAGCATTTGTTCGCACGACTTCTCGAGTAGTTTCTCTTCTTCATCACCGAAGGCAACATGCAGTGGTGTTGGGTGTGTGTCGTGTTGTGTTCTTCCCAGAAATATTCAGCTAAGGGAACCCTTGCAGATGCCACTCGATATCTTGCAGCGATTAGCCGGCAAGCACCGGGTCCCGGGTGCAGGAGCCAGTCTTTCGCACAGGAGGAGCTTCGGGAGGCCGGTCAGGGCCGCTCCTTCCCCACGAGCCCCCCCATCTGCAGAGAGTGCCATGGCAAAGGAGCTACGCTCCGTCGGGGAGCGAAATGACGCTGGCGCCTCAAGCCTGCAAAAACATGGCTGCTCCCCTGGTGTTGGCCGCGTGCTCCTCCGAGGCTTTGCGGGAGCAGCTGCGGAGCCTTCATCAGGATTTCCTGAGTTTAGAAGTGCAATGATTGGCCAGCCAAACAACTGCTCTCCTGATATGCAACCCGGCAACTTGCGTAAGCAGCGATCCCCAAGTGAGCCAAGCAGCGCCACAATGTCTGCACCACACAGCACCACCAAACGCAGCTGCAGTGCTTCGTAGAGCAGGAGACTCGGAAAGTCTCTGAGCGTGTTGATCGCGAGGCATAGTCTCTTCCCATTCTCGACCAGCGCTGCTCCTTTGTTGCTCTTGCTTGGTTTGTTTGGGAAGGTGGCAGACCACATGGAGGTGCAGCGCAGCACCGTGGAGGCTTCTGGTTCGAGCCGGCATTGGACCTACACTTACTCTGTCCCGCTTTGGCAGGCCAACAAGGCGAAGCTCCAGGATGTGTCCGAGCCTGCGTGCCAAGCTGCTCTCGAGATGTCAACACCACTGGCCTGTGCTGACAGCATAACGTCCGAGGATCCGTCGCCAGTTCGCCCAAGCCTCGAGCCGAGCGCAGGCCCATGGGACGAGGGCAGGAATGTGCTGGAGAAGCGTGAGGGAGGAGTGTGAGAGAAGTGATCTTTCGTGAAGCACACTGGAGCGGACGGAGAGAAGAGGACCATGGAGTTAGGCTTGTGAGTTTGCAGAGGGCCAGACACCTCTTGCACAATCGTGCTGAAGTCTCTTTGCACGTTGCGGGGCGCTTCTTTCGGTATCTCCGTCAAAGTCTAAGTGTAATCCGCAGAAAGTTCGCAGATTGTCTGAGAGCGACTCGGCCCTGCAGGAGCTGGAGACGCTCAAGGCTCCGTGGGATGTGCCCTGAAGTTTGGGGTTTGCTGCCTGTTGCTGCCTGTTGCTGCCTATCTCCAACGGCGGTTGTGCTTTCTTTCTCTTCTGGGCGATCCCTCTGCGACTGCAGGACCAGACCGAGAGGGCCCTGGAAGCATCCAAGAAGGGCACTCACCGGTCGGAGGCACTTTGGGGTATTGATGGGGCATTGCTGGCCCGGGCCATTCTTTGGACTCTTGTTCCTGTAGGAAAGGTCAGCGATCGTAGTAAAACTATGGCGAGAGGGACACAGTAGGACTACACAAGGGCTGTGGGCACGCTATGCGGGCCGAATTGCATCGACATTCCATCTCTTGGCTGCGACATGTCGTGCGATTTGTGCCGGCAAGTCTATGCAAGCTCGATCTCCTGCTTTCAACCGCAAAACCAGGGGCAGTGGCTCCAAGTCTTGAAAGTTTTGACAATTTTAAGATGTGCGTGGCGAAGAATTGAAAGGACTTGGCGCGACAGCTACATCAGCTTCAAGAGGCTCGGTTGTCACAATGAATGGCTTAGTGTATTTTGGTGTGATGCGTACTGGTGCCAATAAAGCTGCTATGGTACGTCAGTGACGAGAAGGCGTCGTGGACCACAGTACGTATTTCAGCTCCGGAACACTACTGGTCCCGGACTGGTTTCCGCTCATTCTTGACCCTTGAAGCACCAAAGAATCACAGCATATGTTAACATAATGACAGCATGACGACAGCATAACGCAAGCAAGACAGGACAGCACAAGGACAGCTCGTAACATTTTGCTGGTCTACTCGGCTTGCACGGCTCTGCACAGGACCTGGGCTCCTCGCTTCGCGAGCGCAACCAGCTTCATGAAGCGGTGGAGCGACTGACGGTGCAGTTCCGGGTGCTCGGCCCAAGCATCAGCCACAAGCCCGCATGACGTAGACGGAGCACATGTGACGGAGAGCACAACATGTACCCAGAAGCTTTAGGAAGACGTCTTCAGCCAGTCGCAGCGCCACGTGGAGCTCGAGGGTCTGCTCGAGGCGACGCAGATAGTGGGGATCCCTCGTGTGAAAAACCACAAAGAGAGGCTGGACACAAGGTCTGAAGGCACTGCCGAAAGAAGTGAGGAGGGTTCCAGAAAAGAGGGAGTTCTGAACTGTGACTGCAGTTGGCCAGTCGTGCTTGCGGGGTTTTCAAGTCAGAGTAAGCCTTGCCCTCCTCAAGCATCTGATTCTGATTGGCCTGGCCGCGAGGACCGGAACAACGAGATCAAGCTCCTCATGTACAGACTACAGGCTGGGAGCCCAACATTGTCGGTCTCCTTTTGGCCTGGACCATGCCGAGGAGCTTTCGTCGAGGTATGTGCCAGTGAAGGCGGATGCCGCTTGGGTGCACCGCAAGATGCTGGCAGTCTACCGGGCTGGTTGGCAGATTTAGAGAACAGGCTTGCGGGGGATCTTGAGGGATCTTGAGGATACGATCGCCAAGGCCACAGACATGGTTCTGTCGAGGTGGATCAACGGCTACCGGTGCATCTCCCGGATTCGGAAGCTTCCGATTGAACTGAACTACAAATAAGCTAAAAAACTTGAGGCCGGCGGTTCCCTTCTTCCGCCTGGCACAGGGCCTCTACCTCTTCGGTCGGCGGCAGGTGGGGACAGCACGTTCAGCTCTTGGCAGATCAGAGATGTTCGGAGATGTTCTGAGGTTGTATGCAAAATTTCGAACGACAAGCCGGTCTTCCGCATCGGTGGAGGCTTTATAGGCACCTTTCTTTCAAGCTTGCGTGCGTTCTGCTGGTGCAGATTGTGGGTCAGATGTGTCGGAATGAGTTCTACAGTCTAGGATTCGAAAAGTTCCTGGAGCAGTTTGCGGCGGAGGCGAAGAAGCACAAGCAGCCACCCCTCCACCTTGTTCATCCTACTTTACCCACCCTGGACATTGTGGCAGGAGCTTGAGCGACTGTTGACATACGAGTTGGTCGGGCCCTTGCTGCCGTGTTTCGAGCCGCAGATTGCTTCCGTACTGCTTCCAACAGCCCGAGCTTGCCGTTGTCATGCAAGATCCCTGACTCTGAGAGAGGCAGCCCCCCTCCCCCTTCATGAAGCAGTCTTCTGCAGTTCCGCACCTGAGGATGAGAAGACCGGGGAGCCCAAGTTCCTGCTGGTTCGCCCTGCCCCACTGCGCATATCGAAGGGCCCCCCCCCAAAGTTCTCCGAAATGAAAACCTCTTGTGGGAGGCGAGGCAGCTCTTGGAGGAGTCTGGCGTTGTGGAGGCACTGACTGACGACCATTCTATGCGTTATATCGCTCGATGTTACACTGCTGGGTGTTGTATCCCTCTCTCTCTCTATATGTGTATATGTGTACATATGTACACGTACGTATACTTTCTACATTGTTTGTGGTACATGCGATTACACTCAGCTTCTTGCTACCAGTAGCAGGATTTTTTGAAATGGATGGCTCCGATGTCTGCACAGTTCTGGCTGTCGCTAGGAGCAGTTGCTGCACACGCACGGGAAACCAATACCATCCAACAACCAAGCAATGCAGGGTCGTGTCGGCAGTTTCCAGGAAGAATTAAAATCGGGGGAGAAATCCCAGACATTAAAGAGGTTGGATCTTTCTCACCTGCCCTCTGATCTCATCTGTGCGTGTTCCCACACAACCTGGGCCTTGTTTGTGCTTCCCTTGTGCAAGAACCGCACCAGGAAGTGCGGCAGAAGGTCTCGGAGGATGCGCAGCGTAGCAAGCCCGCAGGACGTGCGTTGCACACTGTCTGCTGAGTTGCTCTCAATGCAATCGTCATCAGTATAAGTGGCTGTCTAGCACGCGACAGTACGCTCAACGCTTTTGATCCAATCTTGGTGGAGTCTTGTGAGCTAAGATCGTGCTGTCAGGACTGCAGAGCGGACTGCAGAGTGGACTGCAGAGCACGATGAGTCGCAGATCCCTGAACTCTTCGAGGGGCAGCCTGTGACAGCCCGGCGTCCCTAGGCCAGTCGAAGAGGTTGGCCTCGTTCACGCTGTGGCTCGCTTTCAATCGTAGGTAGGTAGTTTAGGTAGCCGTTTCACCTTGCATCCATGCTAGCCCTGAGCCGCGGAAGCACGATCAAGCTTGAAGGTTTTCTCATGCGGGGACGTGTCGATGTGTCAGGGTGACTGCTGTTGACCTCGGTTCCTGGGCATAGTGGGTCTTGCTTCGGCAGACGGATGCTGTTGCAAATGCCTCAGAAAAAGCCCCTTCGGTTACATGGGACTGGCCATAGGAGACGCCGAGCACCAGTGAAGGAAGAGTTGTGTGCTCTTCATGGCCGCCGACGAAATAGCGACATCACTGTTGGTGGCGTGGCATAAACATCGTTAAGCTCCCCGCAAGCAAGGGCTTCCGATGCACTGGCATAATCTGTACGCCCCAATCTAGCGACAGCTGGACGGGCCTTCTGTCTGTGTGATTGATTGTCGCGGCTGCCGCTTTTTGGTGCATGCTTCAGAGTAGGCCGCACTTACTGTGCACCACCCTCGTAGGCCAGAAGCTTGGGGTGAAGACTTCGATGCAGTCTTGTTTGATGGTTCTGTTCCTTTCCGCGACAGTCGGAGGCATGGCGTCTTCGCGCCAGAACCGAAGAGGCACCCGCACGTGCAAGCATAGCTGTTCCGCAGGTTTGAACTCCAAAAACTAGGTACCTTGGCTGAATCGCAGTTGATTCAGATATGTGGGCCATTTAATGTACACGGAGCCCCGTGCTGTGTAAGCTAAGCAACTATGCTAGAAGCTCTGTTGACGTGGCGATTCAGTGGCATTGGCTCCACGTTGCTTGGCATTCCTAACAAATGCCAACGCCAACGATCATTATCAGTAGAGTCATTGTTCATTAGTCCGGTTGCTAGTATTATCATCTGTCAGGATCTGTTATCCCCAAGCCGTCATGTACCGCCATCCCTCATCCCTGCCATCCCTCATTCCTGCGGGTTCCATATTGCCCTGCGATGGCAAAGCTCATCTGTCTTCTGTGTTGCTGCGTCCCGAAGCTTGCCTCCAATTGCGAAGCCTTGTGCTTCACGCAGGATGTGACTCGCTCCTTACGCATCAACTAAGGGCGCTGGCTGTAAAGGACATCTTGCTGCCTGACCACACGGTGACTTCGCAGGGTGAGAATAGTACAATTTGTTCACTCCAGCAGCAGCCATGTCTCGCGCGAACGAAGCAACCGAGGTGCAGCTGACCGTCAGCAATGAAGATCCGTTGAGGATCCTTGGATGGGGGGAAGCGCTGCCCGTCCTACGACACGTATTCTCCCCCCCTTGCCACGAGAGACTGTGCTACGCTGAGGAGTTGGATGGGCTCCCTGAAGCTGCATGGCTTACTACTGGACACGCCTTTGTTTTGTGAGACCGACTGCCCTGCTAGTCAAAAGCGTTGACCCCGTGAGCTGGGGTCAAGAATCCGGCACCCCAAGCTTCCTGGCTCCTGCCTTTCCTTGCAGGTTCCGTGTGGAGTCGAACGAATCTCCGACCGCAGTGTTTTGAAGTTCACTTGAGTTGTTACTCCTGTCCCGGAAACTGCCGCCGACCGGACGTCATCCGAGGAAACACATGGCAACGGGCTTGGGGGCATGATGTCCTTCCAATTCCACGACCTCATGTGCTACAACATGTGCCTTTGGTTGGAGTTTGCTCTTTCACTCGTAGCAGTCGTGAGTTCTCGCGCGTTCTATTCCGCTGAGTCTCCTGTTAGTCCACGATTTGAAGCCTGATGTCCTCTTAGTCCTGCTTTACTTCAACTCCACATTCTGGGCTGTCTTCTTGTCTTTGTGCATATGCGATCTATGATCCGCTGTATGGACCTATGAGTCTTTGTGGGCACTACTTGAGTCCGCATATGTTTCGTGAACCTTGCTTGTGCCAGGTCCTTCGGCAAGATCAACACCAACAAGATGGGCGCGGCTCGGGGCACAAAATCAGGCATCTTCCCTTGCTTCGACCCTAAACCCTAAACCCGAAACCCCAAACCCTAAACCCCAAACCCTAAACCCTAAACCTGGGGGACTGTCTTGCCAACTCAGGGATTTCCTGGACTGGTTATCCAGCTGGCCTGGGTCCAGATCACCTGTAAAGGAAAGTGGAAAACCACGGGGTGCCTTGGCAGGTTTAGTGTTGCTGATGCTGATGCCTTTGTTCTGCGTTGCCGTGCGGCGAAAGCTTGAAAACTGTCATTGTCATGTGGGCTCTTGAAGGGCATGTTGGGGGGGGGGGGGACGGGTAGGAACCAAGATGTGTTAGTTGTTACCCCCTCATCCGGTGAAGTTCACATCCTAAACGGTATCAGAAACTCGGCGAAACTTGCCGAAAGCTCGCTCAAAACTCGCCCAAAAAGGGGTTGCTTCATGGTTCTGACCGCCCCCTAAAATGCATCGGGCAAGCATCTAATCTATTGGGTCATTGTGAAGAATTCCAGCAAGCTCGGATTGTTGAACAGGCGGTTTGTGTGAAGCGAATAAACACCAAAAGGCACACCAACGTAGCACATTCATGAAAGCCCAGCATCACCCTGGGGTTCGGGTTCGAGAACTGTCCATGTGAAACATGTGCAAGTCTCTGATCTCTGAGGTCAGTGAGCTGGCTGGTCGTAGGAGCTCCCGGGCTGTGGGCTGTGGAGCACCGTATTCCGAAGTCTGACTTCCCCAACAGCGGATACGCTCATGGGGTCTACAATCTGTAAAGCAAAGGTGCGGTGACCAAGTTTCGGTCCGAGAGTCCGAGAGCACAAGGGATGTGTGCGCGCGTGACTGTAGAAATTGGGCCTGGCGTCCACAATTAACAGTCAGCTCCCTTGAGGGGCGGCGTGAGATGCAAAAGTCTTTTGCAGGATCTTTTCGCGCACGAACATGTCTCCTTGCTCATGGATTGAGATCCAAGTGCGTGCGTGGCGCGAGAACGAAACAATCGTTTTGCATGAACATGTTTCAATTGCGATCCATGTGTGCCCGCGACACGAGAACGCAGCGATATGTTTGAATCAGCATCTCTCGTTGCGCACGCAGAGAAGTCCTGCGGAGTCAGGGTCTGGGTTAGGGGTTTGGGGTTTAGGGTGTAGGGTTACTTCACAATGTCTTCTGCAACTTGAGCTTGGCAAGTTGCCTTTGCAGCGGTTTCTACGAAGCCTCGCCGAAATCACCGAAAACCTAAAGAGCCAGAAAGCCCTATCTAAACACCCTAAGCTCCTTAAACCCCAACGCGCTTTGGTCTCTAAGCCCTAGACTCCTAAACCCTTAGCCTATGCCCCACACCCAACACCCTGACTGAACCCCCAAACGCTCGAAATTTCGGGATGCCAGCTGCGAGTCTGTCACTGTAGGGTTTGGGTTTAGGGTTTAGGGATGTTTAGGGTTTAGGGTTTAGGGTTTTTTGACTGTATAGCACCAAATAGGACCAAATTGTGTGCTATTCCCTCGCTGTTGGGTCTGTAAGGATCCATTCCAGAGCCGGCTCTGCAAGTTTGATATAGCAGCTAGCCGCCACTTTGTGGACCCTGTCGAGGAGATGGCACCATCACTGCGCAAACGGATGAGACGAAGAATAACCACGCAACAGTTGGATTCTACCTGGTTGCGCACCAGAGGCCTAACGTATACGACTGGGTCTATTCCACTACTTGCAAAGCAGACTCTCGGCGGCAGGGAATGAAGGCCTGAATTACGGGTTGCCCGAACGCTATAATTACGTAGTGCGCGCCTATGATGTGAGGGCTTGTATCCAGCACAAAAGTGTCCTCGTCCACTCTCCACTTAGAGGGAATCTGGTCATCCCGGCAGATCACGCCAAGTTTCTTGTAGATCTCAGTTCCGGTTTGCTTCTACGTGCAATGCCCTGTGCAACAGTCGAAACTCTTCTGCAGGACCTGAACTTCCAGATCTCCTTGTCTGGGGGTGTGGCAGCCTATATCACCGACAAGCTGATGGGTTATTTTAGCGGTACTTTGAGTGAGACTCTCGTCGGAGCCATAACAAGCGGGAAAGAGGATCAGGCTTTCTACATTGTAATCCTGGGTACCATGACGCCAAGGATCATCAAGGGCCAGATCGAACGGAAGGTAGCTTAACCGCAGCGAATGGCAACAGGGTTCTGAGGTTTCGCATTCTGTAAGGGTGAATGTGCCGCTCTGAGAACGAACACATGGCTTCGCCATTGTCCATAGGCCCACGTTGAAGGCCCGTCGCATGGTTCCTCTCGTGGGCGGAGTTGAGTCATTGGAAGGTGTCACACGTCGGGTTCTCCTTACATCACAAGAACTTCAAGACCCGATGTCCAGTTCGACCATACCTTAAGGTCAAGGCCTTTGATGCATACAGGCTGGCAGTGGTGGGATGCTACTGTAGCTACAGTGTCAGGCTCGATTGCGCGCAAGATGTCCTGCATCTATGCGAGCTCCCTAGGTCTGCGGCGTTATGGAGAAGCAAGTGGAGCCCCAGCTCAGCCAGCAGCTCCAAAAGCTCAACACGCCCCCAGCTCTTGAAATTAAGAGTGTTGCCGTGCTTAAAGAGAAGTCGCAGAGAATGAGGGAACGCGACTCAGGCTGCTTCTCCCTCCCCTGGACATGAATGCCCCAGACCGACTCCAAGAACGCCGGTTGGAGGAGCCAGCGCGCGGCGCAGCGGAAGGCCTTTTGTGCAAGTGCAAGCGCCGTTATCGCCAGGAAAACAGCAGCTCCGAGCCCACACTCCAAGTCACAGCAACTGGGCTCGTTCAGAGAGCCCACAGTGAGCCCACCTATGGGAGTGCTTGGATGCGATGGGCCAAGGATACAAACGCCAGCTCCTCCGAGCCGGTTTTGCCAGTTGCCTGCCTGCAAGTCACATCAAGGGCTCAAGAGCATCAAGAGCCAAGCCATGATGTGCAGAATGTGCAGAATGCAAATGAACTGAATCAGTCATTGAAGGACCATGGGGATGTAGACGATCGACCAGCTGGTCCTGGCATAGTGGAGTCCTGGCCCGGAAGCATCCAAAGAATCGTTTCCATGTCGGACACTTCAAGGTTAGCTCCTGAAATGCCTTGAAACATGAAGAAGACTCCATCCTTCCTCCCCCCCCCTTCTTCCCCCAGAACCTGTTTCATCTTGTAGATGGCGATCCAGCTTGCCGCGGGTGGAGGTTGTTGTGGCCGCTCACCTTGCGCGCTCTCCATGAACACTGTTGATCCTGCGAAAGCGTGTCCAAGAACAGAGGTGGGCGCAGGCGTCAAAGGCGGTGGTTGTGTGAAGCGCCTCGGTAGCGTGGCAAATGCCGATCCCTGATCCCTTGCAAGGAACCTGCCCCTAGCGTGGCTTGGCCCTTCTGAGTCCCGCCAGATCCGGCAGCGGGGTCCTGCAGGCCGGCCTCAGCATTGCTTCGACCTCTGCCTCTTCTGTCTCCTTGACCACATGAAAACCGCCCGCATTTCCCGCAAAAGGGTTTCTCAAGACTTCTGGTCTGCGTCCGTCAGGGTAGCTTCGGGTGGGCTTCTCTGATTGATGTACTCCCTGAGCCGGATGCTGGCCGCGGCTTTCGACTGTTGGGCTTCCAGGGCCATCCTGCTCTGTGCGTTGCACGTCCTCGTCACATGTCCTCGGCGTACTCCGCCTTCTGGGCGATGAAGTTCTTTCTCAGCTCCTGTTGGATGCGCTGCCATTGCTCTTTCAGCTCGCACTGTCGGCGCAGCTTGGCCTCTGCCTTCCTGATAGTCGCGACGAATTCTTTGATGTCTCTGACCTCTTCTCCAAGCTGGTTGTCGCTCTGCGTGGACCAAGGCGGCTTGTCTGAAGAAGCGGACTTCGTGTCCGTGGCCATCTCGCTGGAGGCTGTGATACTTCCATGCAGAAGGCGAGGCCGACGCCCAAGCACCAGACCAGTTTTTTTGTACCTTTGGGTCGTTGTCCCCCCATCCTTTGTTGGTGTGCTTTCCCATGTCGTCTCGTGGTCGACATCGTAGCTCCGTGTTCGGCAAGGTGCCGTAGCACCCGTAGAGGAGCTGCCCTGGCCTGGGCCAACTGGGCCCTGGCGAAGTTCACCGCTCTTCTCCAACGTGCCCTTTTCAAGCGATGAACGCGATGCCAGGTCGGCGAGCGAATGGCTGCAAACCACCAGCTCCCGTGCTCTAACTAGGGTTGCGGGCAATTCGCTCGATCCCCAACGCTCTCCATGATCCCCAAACTAAAGGCCCCTTAAAGTTAAGGCCCTACTCACAAGCCTCAAAAACCCCAAAGGACCGGAAGGCCCAAAATTTCCAGCACAAGAGCCAGTGCAAAGGACTGGACCAACACGCAGGCCCTGGAATGGGCCAGCTGGATCAGCACCGAGGCTGGGTCGACCTCTTTTGGCAAAAAACTCGAAACTACTCTCCCTCCCGCCCCCCGCCCCACAAGTTACCAAGATCCCCAAGAATTGTAAAGCCCTAAACCTCAAACCTCAGACCCCCGGAAGACAGAAAGGCCCTGTTAAAAGGTGCCCTGAGAGGTGCCCTGAGAGCTGGTCTTGCCGAGGTACTTCCGCCCGATGCCATCCATGAGCTCTCGCGGTGGGCGCTGCAAGGACCCACGGCTTTGTGGAACCAGGGTTAGGGTTTAGCATCTAGGGTTACACCGTAAGTTACACCCAACAAACCCCATATTCCTGGCGTGCTAGTGGGTTGAGCGCCTCCCTCCCTCCCTGCCTCCCTCCCTCATTCACTCCCATTCTCGCTCCCTCTCTCTCTCGCTCTCTCGCTCTCTCGCTCGCTCTCTCGCTCGCTCTCTCGCTCGCTCTCTCGCTCGCTCTCTCTCTCTCTCTTCCTCTCTTCCTCTCTCTTCCTCTCTCTCTCTCTCTCCCTCTCTCTCTCTCTCTTCTCTGTGTCTCTTTCTTTCTTAGCGGCTCATCGTGCTCCAGCAGCTACATGCACAAACATCCCGAGCTTTGCCAGTGCAGGTTTTCGGCTTTAGGGCCATGCAGGGCTGTGCTCATGAATGTTCCGGCACATGTAGGCCTTCAGGGTTTCTCGAATTTAGGGCTTTAGGGGCTCAGGCGGAGGGGTAGAAAACCCTTGTCCTGTTTCACCGCCCTCCCTCTCGTGCGCAAGTTCCCTCACCGTCTCTCATATTTTGCTTAATTCCCCTTGTATAGCTTCTCTCTCCCTGCTTATAATCTCACCTTCTCATGCGGTCTTTCCGACAAGCAAGGGGGGGGGGGACTTCATGCGGCCTCTGAAGACCGCCAGGTGCAGAAGACATGCACTTGAACCTTGCTGGGCTTCCCCACATGGAGCGCCTCGCCCGGGAAGCACGAGGGGCTGCCATGTCACGTACAATCACCAGCATGCAGAACATTATATTGCAAAGAACATGTCCCCTATCAGGCAACCCAATGTACATGAGAAGATTTGCAAAGGCACGGCTTCGTGGTGGACCAGGCAGCTGCGGGTCTCCGCTTGGGAGCCACAGCGCCCGGGCGGCGTCCCCTTTCATTGTTTTTGGGCTCTTCACACCGTGCCTTGCAGCATCACCCAACAAGAATGGCAATGGTCATGGAAGCATTATTGTTGCCGTTTTTGCCGTCGCCGTTGCCGATGCCGTTGGTTTTACTGTTGCTTTTGCTGTTGCTGTCATGTAGTATCAAGGCAACACTCGAGGAGATCGTAGTCCACGGCGCGCAGAGCCTGAAGGCCTGTAGCCTCCGAAGAAACACCCGACAGCTGAAGATGCCTCCTTGAATTGAGCAATGTTTGTCCAGGCCTACTCCATGGAGGCTGTGAGCCCCACCGAGCTTCAGTTTTCTGCCGAGTTCGGCACGGAGGCGCGGATGAGATGTATAGCTGAACTGCTAGATCTGGGCAAGGTTCGAAGTGATTTGCTGCGCGTACCCAGTGCAGGAGCAGCCCAAAGTGGGCTTTTCTGCAACTATGCTGGTGCGCCTTCAGGCGCAGGCCCCCAGCTTTCCATCACGTTGAGGTGTCTTCTCCTCCTTTTTGATTCAACTGCCCGTGTTTCTAAGAGCATACAATTTCCCAACCACTGTTTGCAGCGAGAGCATGCACACCTGAAGATGCTATGCTCGTTTGCCCGCTAGGACACGGAGGATTGGTGGCGCCATGATGCTGTCTCTTCTGTGGAAGAAAGGATGAGCGTCCTGGCGGCTTCCAGATTCCAGTATCGAGGGCAGTATAGTGAGATGCCATGACAGGGTAAGAGGATAATTTCACAACCCTACAACAGCTTGTGGAAATTTCCTTGCTATCACATGCCAGCAATCTCTGAGCAGTCTGCATCATGCAATTGACAATAGTGATGACGGTGATCACAGGAAGAACGGCCATTAAGTAAGAATCACAACGGTTCAAAGCACTTGTGAGTGACCCTAGCGTCTGCAGTTGTGGAGAAGGCATACTGGTACTAGTAGGAGAAACGACAGGTATACCAACGGGAACAGTTTGGGTAAGACCTGTGCTGGTGATCGCCAGCCTGCTGCAAGGAATCTGCATACACCAAGTTCCAAGCATTGACAGCATTGCCAACCGCAGCAGTAGTCGAAGTGACACAGAAGATCACAGAAGCTTTCCTCTCGTTCCGTGGTCCAGGCTTCCGTGTGGCTTTCCTGCGGCCCCGTGCACGAGTCCAGGCGCAGAGTTGTGTGAAGCACGCGCCACCCCCAATGGTTCGGCTTGGCTCAGATAGTGGCTCAGATGTCTATCCCGTAAAACTTGATAATCCGCCAGAGTTTCTTCAGGCAAGGTTTTAACGCCCTAGCGCACTCGCCCATTCACCGACTCTTGGACGCAGAGGTGCCCCTTCTGTGTCAGGTCTAGGGGCAGTGAAGCGGTTTGTCCAGGCGCGGCTGCTCTGCAAAGACGATCCAACAACACCACTCTACACTGCCAGCCAATGGTTTTGGGCAACTTGGCAGGAGAGGAAGATAAGATAGGATGGAGGAAGCAAGCAGCAAAGGAAGTAAGAATCCGCATCGTTTCGTGTCGAGGAGGGTTGCAATTCCTACATCCGCACTCTGACAAGGATCCCGTCCACTGCTCCAGGAGCCTCTTCGTGGAGGCCGCCTTGTGGCACTTTTCCCTGGAAGCCGCCTCTTTCGATTGTTCGCAGCCTGCACAGGCTCGAGGCCTAAGGGCTCATATTAGCTCGTTGTGGTTCCGTTGGGATGTTCCCCCTTATACCAACAGTCCTTAGTAGGGATGAGAATGGTGGGGTACTAGAGTCCCTATCAAGAACTGTTAGTATCAGGGGGAACAATGGTTCAGTGTATTCACAGGCGCCCACCATAGAAAAGCAGAATCTGACCTTCGCCGGCCTGGCCGAACCTCTGCAGCTTGGCCTGCAATTAGATTGCCAGCATGGAGCGGCGCCTTTTCCGGGTTCTGAGTGAGGCTTGCGGTTTGCAGCTTGCTTGACCCGAGTCCAGTCTTCTTGAGGAGTTAGCCTCCTGCACGAACTCCGGGTTGCGGCAGCCATTCCTCAGGTCGTGGACGCCCTTGACTCAAGGTGTTCTGGAACATGACTTGTCGACGCTTTTCAACGAGCTCGTCGCTCTCTTCAACACCTTGTACGAGGCCCTCAGCACTGCATCGCTGAGTGACCCTAAACCCTAAACCCTAAACCCTAAACCCTAAACCCTAAACACTAAACCCTTAACCCAGAAGCAAATCAGATCTCTCTTATCCTGTTTGGCCTGAAGCCAGTGATGCTACGCAATCTTGGCTTGCGGCGCAGCCGCAGTTGAAGAGCCACCCTGGCACCAAAGCAGTTGAGATATCTTAAGCTGTGTTTAAGCAGAATAGAAGCCTCACTTCGTTTCATGGCAAGAAGGTGCGAGCACTTGATCGCGTGCTCGTGCTTGCAGCATGAAAATAGACAGCTTCACAAGAAATGTATACGTACAAGGCGACCATGGGCTCAAGTTCCGAAAGTGGTCTGGAGTACAGTTGTAACAAGTTCTTTGTAAGCAAAGCAGTAGTTTCCAAGCCTGAAGCCCGCCCAAAGCCCAAAATGACCCCCAAACCTTACCCACAGCCAAAGAAGCTGCCACAGGAGCACCTGCCTGAGGCCCTGATGCGCAGCTCGCCAGTAATTTGGGTTGGTCCGGCTTTCCCCAGCCCCGTGCCCAGTTCTTAGACAATCTTACCATGGGCTCCATCCACGAGATTGAAAGGACTGGCAATAGCACGCGCATGGAAGCAGGAAGACAAGCGAGACAGCAAAGACACAAGTAAACGATGGCGGAGAAAGCAATGGAGATGAGAAGGAACCCTCAGCGCAAGCCGGGCAGCACCAAATTGAGGAAAGGTGAGCAAAGGGACGCAAGTTGAAGTGCCATGCACAAAGAGCCCCGACGATCCACACCAACTGCTTGCCGGCAAGAATTGCGCAGTCATCAGCATGTAGAAGCGATGCAGAACCAAAGACACGACATGTCAGTGTTATGACCGTTCCGCCCATCCAAGCGCAACAAGAAGCTAAGGCTTGGGAGGCAGCCAAAACGGCCTCGAGGTTGGGTGGTGCGAGGTGTCAGTCTTTACTAGACAGTGGCGCGGACTCGAAATCCTTCGTGGCAGAGCATTGGCATCTTCTTGCCCCAGACTTCAGAGGCTTAAGCCATGTTAAGCCTCTAAGCTCCACAAGCCAGAGCCCAAATAGCCGACCTGAAGTGGCCCGGAAGGCGGTGAACAAAGTGCTGGCGCATCTGGCTTCGCCCACCAAGTGCATGGATCTGAGCAACGCGAACCACAGAACACAGGGATGCTGTGCCGCAACAGAAGCAGCTGTGATATGTTGATGAGGCGACGAGCCGTAGTCAGCACTGCAGCTGTTGCTCGTGTATGCACCGAAGAAGTACAGTAGTGGTTGGCTGGGCTTGAGGGCACGGGTTGTGGTAGACTGGTTGGAGATGAGGACGGTATGGCGAAGAGTTCTCTGACTGGCCAAAGCTGCTGACTTCACAGTTGAAAGACTGGATGGACAACATGGTCACTGGCTTCCTTGAAGCCAATGAGAGCCTTGGATAAAGACACATCGGCCGATCAAGCGATTGATCCTTGAAGATGACACTGCTTTGACGTGCCCCTCGCCCCCCCCCCCCCTCCCCTCGCCCACCCACATACAAACAAACCGGGCTTTTGATCCTCTGCGTGGATCGTATCCTCTACCAGCTAGGGCTCCAGAACATTGACATACTGTCCCATGCTCTTGAGGACTTCAGTGTTGAAGTTTGTCTCGAACATGCCAGCCATCTCTGCCGGGCCTTTCACCAAGCTTCGCCTAACAGTGGGGGGGCCAAGTCTAGACAGAATCCTGTCAGTCTACTCGAGTCTATGCAGGTCCGGGTGTGCGCTGAGTCATGCCATGACTTAGCGTAGAAGTCAGGGAGCAGAACATACTCGACTGCGCGTTGTGCAGGACATGGGCGTGAGCGGAACCAACCAGTGCCTTGGTAAGGGATGCAAGGGTGGGTGAAAGGATATCTGAATGCAGGCAGGACCATAGTCAGGGTAGCTAGGGTTGCCTCAGGGCTCAGAGACTGTCGAGGATCACAGATGCGCGCTTCATGGTGCCGAATGCACATGCGCCCGAGACCCTAGGACCGACGATGCATGACATTTGCTTGAGATTTCTCGGTCGAGCTTTCATTCCTGGCCCGATGCTGCTGTAAGACTTTCCATGACTTCCCTTTTGAAGGATTCTACATGACCACTGGCTGCCCGCACGGTGAGAAGTCATACAGTGCCACGTTGGCCATGCGTCTCGGCAAGAGCGACTGCGTCCGGAGCCATTGTGAGCCCTCCCAAAGGTGTACCTCTCGCAGAGTCTTAGCAGTCTTCACAACCTAGAGAGAGAGAGAGAGAGAGAGAGAGAGAGAGAGAGAGGCAGATCCTCTCCCTGGGCACATCTCACATTTCACTCCGACTGAGACATTGAACGGGCGCGCACTGTGCGCGGAGGGCGCGTCAGCGTCCTTCATGCCCCGAAGAAGAAGAAGAGGCAGAGGATGCTCAGGAAGGCATGCAGCAAAAGGGGGGCGACAGCGCGGACTGGAACCAAGGGGACCCTAAGCAGTGAGGGGGGCCGTTTGTAGTCTTCGTTTCGCCCAGTGCTACTAAGTCGCTAGGGGCCATCAATGAATGGTAACCCATCTTTCACTTGCGGACAGAGCAGCGGGCCAGAGCGGCCGGGGTCCTCCCTGGGGGGGCCTCTTCGCTGGGTAGAAGAAGAGAGGCAGAGAGAGTGGGAGAGAGGGATCTCACCCAGACTCATCTTCGGGCGCGCCTGGTGCGCGGGGGATCTCCCCCATGCCCTGCAGAAGAAGGAGAAGGAGAAGGAGAAGGAGAAGGAGAAGGAGAAGGAGAAGGAGAAGGAGAAGGAGAAGGAGAAGGAGAAGGAGAAGGAGAAGGAGAAGGAGAAGGAGAAGGAGAAGAAGAAGGAGAAGGAGAAGGAGAAGGAGAAGGAGAAGGAGAAGGAGAAGAAAAAGAAGAAGAGAGAGGGATGTCGTGGCCGGTCCTTCCGCCTGGGGGGGGCCTCTACGAGGGATGCTTGCCGAGTTCCTGTTGACCTGCTTGGCACAGGAGGCTGGCCGCCGAGACTCCACCAGGTGAGGCGCTCGTGGAGGCCAGGATGCCGAGGACCCTGAGAGACAACGCACAAACAATAAGAGCAATAATAGCAATTGCAATAATGATAATAAATATAATAATAGCAAAAAATCATCATAATAATAGTAGTAATCATAATCATCATCATCATGATAATGATAATAATAATTGAGTCATTGAGCTTGGAGTGAGCTTGAAGAGTTTCAAGGTGGATGCCCCCTGTGGCACTTTCGAAATGGTTCTGAACGTGAGCCTAGATACGCGGCGCAGCTGCAAGAGCACACATTCTGTGGGCCCTTGGTTGTGTATGAAGCTTAGGATGAAGACGGCCAATATGCTCGTGCCCCCAACGCTGTTCTGCACGTTGCCGCTTAGCTGTCATCAAGACACTGCAACACACCGCCTTCAAAAGTGTCGGAACCTTTTTTGTGCAGGTTGACACCCTTCAAGACGCTGAAGGTGGAGGATCTGAAGCTGGTCTTCGAATCTACGGGCCCCCCTCCAAGAATATGCCCCTGGTGGCTTTCGAAAAGGTGCCACAGATCGCTTGAGTGTGAGAGCACATTGCTTAGGCGAGGTTCGGGTGACGCTGGGATCGACTTCCCACAAGCCAGTTCAGGCCCGAGATGCTGTTGGTTTGACAAAAGGGGCTTCTGAATTTCGAAGCCTTCGGGAATCTTATGGCGGAACTCTGCACCGTTGCCGCGGGTCATGCATGCCTGGGCTTAGTTAGCGTGCGATAGTTGCAGGAGCTCTGGGCGCTCTACCCGCAGCTATCTGCTGCAGTCCATGCGTAGCTTGGCCAAACCACACCATTAGGGGTTGGGTTGTGATACAGGCATAAACGCGGGGCTGAGCAGTTTCCAAGGACACCCGAGAACATCTTCACAACACATCTTGAGAACGTAAGGATGCTTCAGTCGCTGGCGAGCGCGGAGAACTTAACCGAGGTGCTAGAATTCTTGCACCAGGACACCGTGCAAGACCCATCCTCATGCTTTGGGATTTGAAAGCTCGCCGCAGGAGGCTGTGAGGGAGTGTGATGCAAAGGCGGAGCGGAGGCTAACCGCGAGGACCCCGGCTCTCTGCGAATCTTCAAATGGTGTTCAATGGAACTGCAAAGGGAGGAGCATCTCCCAAGGCCAAGAAGAGTGGGTCCAAGAGATTCTTGGCTGCATGCAGAAAGTCTACCGGGACAGTATGATTCAGTTCGTAGCTTCTATCTTAATTGAAAAGTATTCGATAGGCATGCAGCTGGGTGTGCGGTCAGAAAAGCGAGTGAATGAGTTCATTAGTTTTTATGCGAACGAATACAATGAGTGAACGCACAAAGACCCCCTCATTTAATACTATCTTTGGGGAACTTTTCTTTGCTCACTCATATCCTGCATTTCAAGCGCTTCGTAAACCCGCTTGTAAATGCAGTAAGATCCATTCACTTCGTACACTCTTTTCATTCTCTTTTCTTTCTCTTCTTTTCATGTCGTTCATGCGCTGAAGATGTCTTCCTGGAGTCTTCCTTTGGATCTGTTGATAGCAAAGCTGTGGACAGAGGCGTCGACGCCCTTGGTATCAGCTATGATGAGGCACACAACTTGAGCGCGTCATGTCCAAACAACAGCACAGCCTCAGATTCCCAGAGCACGCGCAAAGTTCAGCCGCAGGGCTTCAACCCTGTGGTCTGGCTGGCCTCCTTACTGGGTGGCCTCGCCGCTGCTGCGCTGGTTCTGGCCGCGGTCGTGTGGCAGGCAAGGCCCAGAGGGTGTTTGTGAACGAACGGGCCCTCAACACATCACCGATGAGACATGCTAACACCCCAGAACGGCCAACACCCGCCAACGTCAAGTTTGGGTGAGCCTGAAACGCATTGAGGTGCATTGAAGTGCATTGAAGAGCATTGAAGTGCATAATGCAGGCCGGCAGGCAAAAGGTCTCCGCTTCCAAACCCTTGGGTGTGCATTGCTGGCTCGCAGCCCGGGGCAGCTCAACGGAATTGAGACGAATTGAAGATGGTCATTTCTGAAGTCGCATGTGCAAGGTAGTAGGAAAGTGCAATTTTGCAAGCAGCTCCTTTTCTTGAGAATCTGAGGCAACGCCCGCTGGATGGTTGTTGCCGTGGCCTCGGATTATACATGATTTGGAAAGCCAAAGGGCAGTTCCACTGGTTTCCCCCAGGCCGTCTGCACGATGCTAGCCCTCACCTCAGCATCATTCGGTGGGGCAGCAATGCAGGGCATCCGCAGGGCCACAAGTTGGGAAGCCGAGGCCTTCTCCGTGATCCTGCGAATAGTCGCGTGCAGCCTGCCATACACATCCCTGACGATGAGCATGTTCTACACGCCGCAGACTTGGGGCAGATTGTTTGGCTATGGGCAGCTTAGGAAGCTTAGGGGCCAGTGCGGTACACAGCTTGAGTTCCTGTGAACCATAGAGCCTTGAGGCCCAGCAGGCTGGAACTTGACAGCCAGACGGTTGCCACCTTCACTTACTGGGGTTGCCTGGCCTCAAGGGCGAAAGCAGCCGATGAAAGCTTGAAAATTCAATCGCACTTGTCGCCCGAGGGTTGGCGCTTCAGTTCAAAGCAGGAGGACCGATCTCAGATCTGCGCCAGCTGAGTTGTTTTCTCCACATCGCCATGTGGGGCTCTTGTTTTTTTGGCTGCCCTCCAGCGCGCCCGCCCGCGCGTCCGCCCGCCAGCGCGCCCGCCCGCGCGCCCGCCCGCCTGTGCACCCGCCTGCTTGCCGGTCTGCGCGCCCGCCCGGTCTTTTTGGGCTTGGGGCTTGCTGGTTGAAAGGACTGCAGGAGCCGATCAGTTACAGGATTTTTGGGTCTTTTATAGGGGTTGCTGGTGGACTCCGCCACATGTGCGCGCAAACAATCCGAAACACATCGACCGACACGCACCACCGCTCTTCACGCGAGGGCAGCCAGCTCACCTCTGCCTCTGTTCAGGAGGTAGCATTATCTTCATCAAGTTTGTGCTGACCTCTCTTGCCTGTGGCATGGTACCGTCCTTAACGTTATCATTTGTGTTGACAAGGTTAGTTTCTCGGAATTTGGCGGTACTGTATTGGGGTATGTCTTCCTTGCCGATGCCCCTTTCGGGTGCCCATGAAGCTGGAAGGTGCCAGATCCGTGCAAGTCTGCATCTGGTCGGATGGCTTAACCATTGACTCCTGACCGATTGACTGCTTGAGGTTTCTTGCGCCCTCCTGGCCTTGCCGTGGTTGCTTGGGCTGAGCTTTCCCGCACAGCACGTGCTGATCCGAGCCCAGTCTACAGATTAAAGATGCCGCAACGTGAGTCTGGAGTAGATTACGCCATGCCCCGGGGCAAACAGGGCAAACTTTGACAGCTGGGAGTGCCTGACTCGGCAAGGAGTGGCAATTTGGATAGGCAGACTGCCGTTCCAGGACTTCCGGTAGGCACACCGATGCAATCCAAGGCAGTCTCTGCGTTGTATCCTCTTGTGTTGTGCAGGAATCCCAAACTCTGGCGAACGCTGCCTTGTCCATGTGCCTACGAAGCAGAAGAGTGAAGATAAGTTGATACCACGCCAGACTGTAGAGGTGGTGGTGAGGTGTCGTCGTCCTTTACGGTGGCATGAAGTATCATGATATGTCTACAAAAGGAGTTTGGGGGAGTGTCTCAATGTGTCCCTTAGGAACGCAAACTTGGCTTTGCCGATGGATGCGGAAAGCCAGATGAGGACGAAAAAGTGGAAACCAGCTTGGGGAGCAGATTGTGCACGTGGACAGCTGTGCCACGAACCCCAAACTTAGACCAGAACCTGAAATCTCAGACCTGTAGACCTGCACCTTGAAGGATGCTGCCTCTTGTTGGGCCCTTCGTTGCGATCACGGCCTGCCTTCTCTGCCTCGGCGTGCATTTGGTGGCAAAGCGTTGAGCGCAGAACTCTTTGGAGTCTTTAGAGGCTTGCGGGGGGTTTTATGTGGTTTTATGTGGGGTTCAGAGTCCACATGCCCGGGCTTTCTGGTGTGAACTCTGCAAATCTGGCAAAGTTTCCCCGGCCTGACAGTTCCACACCGCACTTCTGGCAGCATTGATGCAGGATTTAGTGGGTGGCATTCTCAGATCCAGGGTTGTGCCCCAAGGCTGGTGTGGTCATGGCCCTGTCGTTGCCGCAGCGATCTGCGAAAACAACGGAGTCTCCGGATGACAAGCAGTGGGCTTTGCCCGATTTAGTGCCTCATCAGATTGGGAGAGGGTGGCTCTAGGAAAAAGGTGAGAAGGAGCACAAGACCCCGCACAACTATGGACAACGGACAGGTGCAGGCGAAGCCAGCAGATGGATGGTATCCCTAATGACAGTTCTACCTTCAGAGAGCACAGTCCGTTGGTAAGTTATGAGCAAGAGATCAGTAAAGAAGTCAGTCAAATAGGTGACAAGCCTCACAATGCAACTCATGACATTGAGGGTTCATGACGTCGAGGTAGTGACCTATTCTATTCCGTTTTTTCCTTCACTCTCACCTCCGGTTTTTTATCCGTCAATACATGTCAGTTCTTGGCTTCCAAACGCTTGCGGGCTCTACTTCAAATATCTGAGCTTTAACAAGTCAACCACCTAAAACAAGAGAAAGGAATAATACAAGACGTAATCCGGTTGCTGCAGCGCAGCATGTGCTCTCAGCGCACGCTGAGGCGCTGTGCTCCGGCATCCTCACCGGAACCTTCATCTGGCTGTTCTTCTCCTTCCTCTCGGTGGGCTTCCAGGGCCTGGCTGGCATGGTGCCAGCGGCACGTCTTAGGGCCGATAGGGCCCGTAGCCTGCCAGGGGGGGAGGCAAGTGGGCCTGCAAGCAACCTGCAAGCGTTGAACTGCCCAGACTTCTGGGTTCCAGGTCTTGGCGCCAGGGACCTACTCCGGCATGGACCTGGGAGCCTACAGCCCAGGGTTGCTTCTTGGCTGCTGTTGTGACAGAGTCCGCCAATCTTCCCTAATCGTCCCATTCCCAGAGATAATCACTGTTGCGAGCTCATGTAGAGGCGGGAAGTGTGCTTCTCGAGGAAGAGCGTTTTGTTGCTGCAGACAGTCGTGGCGCCGGTGGGTCAGGCAGGAGTGCACGACATGAGATTCCTTACAGGCTGAAGACTCGCAGCGGACATGTCAATGTCCACACTGACATCGCAAAAATCATACGAGATTGTGTGTGAGTGTGCACACCTGTTTGCCAAAGATTAAATTGTAGGGGGGAGTGACAGAGTCTGTGGGATCACTGCCAACGAAGACACCCACCACCTCTGGTGAAGCATTGGAAGACGTTGCACTGTGTACCTGTAAGCAGCAAGATTAGAAAAGCTTTGCCCCCTGAGGCAGCACATTTAATTAATGTAACCCCAGATTTGACGACTCCTTCGAAAGAGGTGCGAACCTGTGTGTTTCGGCAAGAATTCTGACAAAGTGTCTGTCATGAGGGCCATTGGCCCCCATTGGATACAAGCATGTGACTTCGGCTGATTTTTTCAGGATACTGTACTATTTTGGTCGTGTCTTCTGAGCAGTGATACAAGATGGCGCGCAACGGTGCGCGCAACGGTGCAGACAGACGTTTTGCACGACCATGGGGCCCGTGTGTGGAGGCAATCTTTGTGGCCTTGCGCGCGATTGAGCTTGTCTCAGAGCGCTGCCTGCCGTACACCTTTCGAAGGTTTCGGGGAAGCGGTTGCAGCATTGTTGGGCCTCACACTTTCTCCGCTCCCTCCCCCACTCGCTCTCTCCCTGCCTCTCTTGTTCTCTCTGTCTCTCTCGGTTCCCTCTGTTCTTTCTCTGTTCTCTCTGTGTTTTCTCTCTCTGTCTCCCGGTTCTCTATCTGTTCTCTCTGTCGCTCTCTGTCTCTCTGCCTTTTTCTGGCTTTCTCGGTCATTTCAGACGCTGCGTTGTGAAGCCAAGGTTGGCGACCGCTGGAGGAGCTCTGTATGAGTCATGCTCCCAGCGTCGGAAGCACCGGGTTTTTTGGTTTGGGCTTGGACGGGCAGCTGCAGTGTTTGCAGGTGTTGTGACCGGGGATGTGCGTTTAGGCAACTGAACTGTCAGTTTGGCACTTTGGGATACTGGTGCGTGTCCATGCTGAGCCTTTATTGTGCATTGCATGTGCTGGGTTCCACAGGCCTGAATACTCTGGACGTCTTCGCGATTGTGGCTCTCCTGAAGAGCTTTTTGTCGACAGGATGAGCTGAGACAATGGCGCATCGTTTCTTTGCCTGTGCACACAGACAAGGTGTTCCTGTTCTCTTTCGTTGAAAACGTCGATGGCTTCACGACCTCCTTCGTCAGTTCAAACTTTGTACCCCGGCCCTGATTTGGTTTGAGCTGCCTCTAACTCAGATTCAGTCGTTCGTTCCAGGGCAGTTTGCAACACTTCCTGTCCGAATGTCCTCGCATTTCACTAACACTTCACAAATCAACCATCAGTCTTGGGCGTATCGGATTCAGATCATGCAGCTTAGAACGTGTGGTGGCGTTGTGCAAAGCTGCATGTTTAGGCCTCAGGCTGTTTGGCAGAGGCTGTAGGGTTATCATATGCTTGAGAATCAAGGTACGGACATATGTGGTGTTTTGGGATGTGGGAGTATTGGCAGCTTTGCGGCTCGGGGTTTTCGGATTCAGCAAGTCTAGGGTATGTGTTGTCAGGGTTTGGGGTTAACAAATTTCTGGGCACATCGCATTCTGAACAACGCACAAAAAATACTTGAAGGGTGGCGTGGCCGAGATTTTCTGCTCAGCCGCCGTAGCGCTCCGACAGCACGGGTCAACCTCCGACAGAGCAGGTTCATGGTTTGGGGTTTAGGAGAGGTTTAGGGTGTTCAGTATGTTCAGGGTTAAAGGGGCTACGGTGTGCATGCCCCACCAAGTCAAAACGCAGCAGAGTTCCCCACCCCGACTACAAGCATCTCTCCAATGTCACACAGAGCGCGCCTCTCAGGCAGACATCGCCGCGAACGTTCGGAAGCTTTTTGGGATGCCAGCTGTCGGAGTGGACGTGGCCGTGGTGGAGATGGGGACACCTCGATTGCAGGGTTGGCGTTTGTCTGTAAAACGCAGGTGGATTCGCATCTCGTGTTTGGGTGCCTGAGAACATCCTACACCAGCGAGCAAAGTTTCGAAGCAGGAGGGTTCCAGTCTTTTGCAATCCTGAATGCAAGTGAATAGTAGTGGCCACCATCGGCCACCGACATTTGCACCTCCGCTACCCTCGGCTCCTTGAAGGGCCCGCACTCTAAGAAGAGATGAAGAGGTGCTGCTATCGCACTTTGGGGTTCGGCAGAGCACGCTCCTTGCGCCAGGACAGTGGGTCTCTGCATTGCAGCAATATGCACATTGGTGCTCTACATCCGCTTCTTGTCGGGGATGAATATGAAGGCAATGTGGGGGTACTCCTCGCAAAGTGTTCACTGAGGTTCTTCGATGTACTTCCACACGTTTGTGCCCAAGGTGGTGGCCAGGACAGGCTGCGCCATCTATCAGTATCTTAGGATTGACATAGAACGCAGCTTCGTCATGATATCTAGTCAGAGCATGCATCCAAGCGTTCTTCACTCGCTGTTCTGCTGCTGCTGTTCTGGGGCGGCTGCGGCTGCCGCTGCCGCTGCCGCTGCCGCTGCCGCTGCTGCTGCTGCTGCTGCTGCTGCTGCTGCTGCTGCTGCTGCTGCTGCTGTTGTTGCACGTCTGTTCAGGAGAGATGTGGAAGACTCAACTGTCGCAGTTGAGCTGCAGTGAGCGAGGATGACCTGGCATTTGCAACCCTATCTCAAGGTGCCCAGAAGGATAGACTCGCATAGACACATGGGGAAACCCCAGCCCCCCTAGGCCTCCCCTTTCCCACCCCCTGTATACACCCCACAACAAAAATATGCAGTTGAAGCGCCTCGATGGCGCACGCAGAGGACAAGGTGCCAAGACACGCTGAAGTTGCGTCTGAAGGCCAAAGTTGCCTCGACGGAAGTTGCGCTGCTGTTGAGCAGCAAGTGGGTTTGAGCGGCCTGGCCACTCTACGCAGCCGCAAACGGATGCAAACAATTGGGTGTGTTCACCACGTGCTCGGCTGGGCTGATGGGACCCTCTGACGAAGGTCACCAGAGAGCTTGTCGCCGTACCGGGCATCGTTGTTTCGCTGGGCACACCCAAGTGCTGCCTCTAGTTTCAGACAGCCACGACTGTAAATGCATGGGACGGCTGAACCGGCCCGCAGGTGCTTTGGGCTTGTACGAAAGGCGGTGCTCATGTGCAGCATAACAAATTGCTTGTCTTTTCAAGTTCTGCAATGCACATGGCGCGGGTCGTTTGGGATATCGTCCTCCCGAACGTCGGTGCACGTTAATGCGCCGAAGACAAATCGCCTGCTCGCAGGGCGCTTTGTGCAAGCGGGACCTTGAAATCATGGGCCCCAGCGTTAGAATCCGGCTGACCAGCTTCTCGAGAGTCCTGAGATTGTCAGGAGGGATCACGGAAACTTTCTCGAGGGGCTCGGGGTGACCCGAAGTCGGGCAAGGGCAGCCTGAACGTCTAAGAAGCAAGCCGCAGCTGCAAAGCTGTGCTGCAAAGCTGTGCTGCAAGTCCCCGAAGCTCGGGGACGATTGTGACGGAAGGGGTTAAGAACGACAAGACCTTCCTCCCGACATTGGTTGTTGCCGACGACAAAACAAGTGCATGCTATATGAGTTTAGATTGAGTCTAGACGTGTGTTTCATTACCCCTCACGCCCTCCGTGGAAGGTCACTCCAGCGGGGCTGTGCTTCGCACAGCAGGGCCGGGTCTGGAAGTTTCTGCATCCGAGCTATCTTAATGCCAGATGGTGTCAGCATGTTTCAACTCGTTTCAACTCGTGTCGCATCTGATTCTTTGCCCAGCCCTTGTCAGGCTCGCAACAGCCTGCGCTGCCTTTGCCAGCCAGGCCAGGTTTCTGCACAGAGCGGCTGAGCGGAAGACGTGAGGGGAAGCTGAACGGAAGCTGAACGGAAGCTGAACGGACTGAACAGAGTGAATATGCGCACCCGAGAGGCCAGCAAGGCCTTTGTGCCCAGCAGGCTCGGCCGCAGCCCTGGTTTTGCGGACTCAGTTCACAAGTCCTCCAGAAACCCTCCAGATTCTAGCTCTTGCCAAGGCCCCTACGCGGAAACTCGCAGACCGCAGGTCGCGAGAGCTGGTTCCCCAGAAGCTTTTGATCTAGATGTGGGAGGTTTCAGCGGATGTCTGCAGATTGTTGGGTTCATGGCGCGGCGCGGAACTAGCAGCCGCCGGGTCAGATTGTCTGTTTCGGCTGTGACACGGGCTGCCTTGTGTGGGAGGCTGCAGAGCTGCCGCCGGGCTACTTGCCACCACCGCCGAACGGAGTCCCCGGGTGCGCGGGGTCAACGGGCATTCCATGGGAAGCTGCTTTCGCTGTGCGGATATGTGGTCTCCTTTTGATGGAGATGCTTGAAGCATCTCGATGCGCGCTGCAAAATGAAGGCTGGAGCCCTCGCAGCTGTCACTAGGCACTGCGTTTGCACTCTTTGCTGCTCGGCTTCTGAGCCTTGGACGTTGCGGTAAAGCAGTCTGCGCCAACTGCAAAACTCGCTTTTAAGATGCTTCATCGTCTAGACATCGTTTTGAGGTTGTGGCCGTCCCGGGCGTTCTCGGAACCATTCAGAGGCTGACTGCATGACACCGGTCTAGCGCGGAATTAGGTGATCTAGTGTGCAAAGACCAAGATGGTGTAAGGATTCTGTCCACACACGACTGGGTCATTGGAACTCGGAAAGGGCTGTGAAAATGGAGACCCGTGCGGCAAGCTAACCCTTGCACATTCCTAAAGAGTGGACCAAAGCCTGCTGTTCCCGATGCGCTGAGCGTTAAGTTTGAAGTTTGGCCAAGAGCTAAGTTGGACCTTAGAAGCCTTAGCCAGGTCTGGCCAGGCAAAGTTCGTCGAGAAGACCTACGTCCCGGCCCCAAGTTATCTCTCCGCTTCACCCGCTTCGCTTTGCGCTTTGCTTTCATGCCCTGGCGCAGGTGATGCCAGGAACAGCTGCCGGTGGACTGGAGATGCGCTCCATTGCCCCTGGCCCAGCATTCAGATATGCAAAGGCCATGTGGCGCAATGACTTCATGGATTCAGCCTTGCGGGTTTTCTGTCATTTGAGGCCGGTGGTATCGTTGCCTACTTCACAGGACCATTGCCGTTGGCATCACATTCCCTGAGCCTCGCAAGAAAGCCGATGTACTTGGGACGTGTGCCCTTTCCCGTGTTTGCTAGTTTGTGTCATAGGACTCAACTACATGATGGAGGCAGACTGCATGCAGTCTTGGGCCAGCAGTTCGTGACAGTGTCTTCGGCATTGGTGCTTGTCTCAGGATTCGCCGCAGGAGGGACGAATCCGCTTTGTAGGCGCACTGCAGACATGTCCAGGGAAGAGTCAGAGGGAATTCCTCTCCTGGCAGTTGTGTGTGGTTCATGGGCCATCCTGAGTTCGAGCTTTGGAGTCAAGAGGTTTTCAACAAAAGGGCCCCCTAAGCCCTTCCGAGTCCTTTCGGGACCTTTCTTGAACTCTGGGGGCCTTTTTCTCTCCGTTCCTTGGAAGCCCTCCTCTTGAAACTTGCTGTGTTCAGGCCAGCTGCAAGGCAGCATCAGCCAGGCTCCTTTCTTGTGCGCCGCTTGGTCCGAACTCCCCAGCGTCCGGGTGGCAGGCGTTGTTTCTCACGTTTTGCCTTGGCGGTGTGGATCTCAGACAAGACCTTTGTCGTCGGCTTTGTGAGTGCGCACATCAGAGAAGTTGCGTGTTTGCTGCTCGTGTCAGAAGAGGCGCCATCTTTGCCGTGGCACTGCTACTAGTGCCAGATCCTCGGGTAAGCTTGCTTTTTGCGAGCTCAGTTGTGGCCTTGAAAACACGAACGAGACCGAGGCAGATATTTCCAGATGGCCCCTTTGGAATTGGGCCTGACTGGTGGTTTACTCCGGTTCCTTCCTCGAGTGTCCATTCAGTGTGGGCGTAGGGCAGCACGACCTTAGCTTGCGACCTCAGCTTGGCTTCAAGCCTTTGAGCTCATGGTCCGAGATGGTCATCATCCCTTCCGCGGGTCTCTACTACTGGCAGCGCGCCTTTCGGCCGAAGCCCCAGAATTCGCTGCGGGCTCTCTGAAGCACCTGAAGCCGCCTGAAGCCAGACGTGCAAGTTCTAAGCCGAGACCCCAAGAGTGGGAGAATGCTAGCTCCGAGGAAGGACATCGTGGAGTTGCAGCTGGGAATGAGCGACGACTTCATGCAGACCTCCCTAGTCATCCTCGGCAGCCTGGAGCTGCGAGTTGACATGCCTTAAGTGCCTTTTGTAACTTCAGGGCTCGGCTCGGCAACATCATCAGGGTAAGTGTGAGTTAGGGGGCCGTGCATTTCACGTCTTTCAAAAACGTGTTGAACGAATTCCAAGCAAGACAGACTGATGTTTCTTGATCTTGACAAGCCCCAAAGCCGATGAGAGGAGACTATTGAGGAGCTGCAGAATGGTGTCCGATTTCAGCCAGCAGCCCACTGGGAACAGTGCTGCGTCGACAGGAAGCCTGTCAGACAGGATTGCAGCTGCCTGTGAGGTCTGATACCGGCAAGCTCTTCCGCCTGATGGAGCAGGTGCCTGGGAGACTTAACCCATGGGCTGCGGTGCTACTAAAGAACTTACTCTCTCACGTGCTACGTTGTTTGGGATTTGCTGAGTCACATGCGCAAACCCCGTGCACATCTCTTGAGATTTCCTTCGCGGGATGTGCACAGGGCATGGAGTATCAGCCGGGCATCTTCGAAACAGACGAGGAGTCCGAGGGCTGCGAGGGTGGTGAGTCATCAGATAGTATGCGGAGCAAGCATTCGATGCTGTGTGGCAGACGCTCAATCTTGAAAGCACGGTCGAAGTCTGTTATAAATTATAAAGCTGAGGCAGTGGATGTGTGAATGCCCTACTCAGCTTCAGTGTCAAGTATCGCTGGGCAGATGCAAGTAAACATAGGAGACATCTGCTCTGTCTCAGAGGCCTTGGCAAGTAAACTCTCTGCCGTTCGATGACGGTGAGCCCACAGGGCATCCCCACACGGTAGGCCGCTCCAGGACCGGATGGTCGTCACAGGGGCCACTGGCAACTCCGCCTCTGGCTCCAGCCCCGCGAGCTGAGCGGTCGTGAGTGCTGCAAGGAGGTGAGACTTTGTTTCTCTGAGCATTCGTAAAGGTTTTAGCGTGGCAGGTCTAGAGAGAGAAGCTTGAGGATGATTGAGGATGTGGTGTGGTTGAGGTTTGGGGTATTTGTAAGGCCTTGACCAGGAAAGGGGCTTTGAATCAGAGCACCTGATGGTAGCTAGTAGGTAACAGCTATAGTAGAGAGCAGAGAGTACACGCCCGTTGGGTGGTATCCTGGTACGTGTCATCACGAAACTCCACTGTCACGGGCTCCGGCTTGGATGCCTGGGCTCCCGCTCTCTGCGGTAGTTTTCGGCTTGTCGCACGACCCATGCAAGGAGTGCGAGCGCCTTTCTCACCCAAAGCTTCTGCTGTCGGCTAGCCCTTGGACCATCCTGACCAAGGAGAAGTGTGCACGGTGTAACAGCTGGCCATTCGAGCTTTGCTCAGCCGGGCGGAGGTCTGCCACAGTTCCAGGTTTCACATTTTCAGGCAACGGCAGGAAAGACGCAATGTAAAAGAATATGGGCTCATGCCCCTGCTCAGACTGAACCAGAACAGGCCCAAGCAGTGTCATGCAAGGCACGAGCCTGAGGCTGAATGACAAAGTGGCCCGTCGTCGTTCTTGCACTTGTTCAGATGCAGGTGTGCAACCAAGCATATGGACTAACACGGACAGGTAACATGCACGCAAACAAAGACTCATGCATTAAGCCCTGCGAATTTGCTCTACCCGAGCCCAATGTTTAAAGAAGAGGGTGATGGTGATGCTACAGTGTGGGGCGCTAAGTTTGAGTGACGCTTTCCACTTTGAAGGCTGTATGTTCCGGCACGACCTGACGGCCGCTTGCCTCATACGCAATCTCCACAAGCTCTTAAGCGAACGTGCTCAAGATTTGTTTCACATCGTCAGAGATACTAAGCCGAGCTGACGAAACTCCGATGACGGGCAAGTGGCCCCATGCTCCAGTGTTGGCTGCGCCTCGTCTGCGCTCAGGAATGGAGTGAGCCCAGAAGTGGCATCCGATGTCTTCATTCCGTGCGCACAGCCCGACTGCCTTCACGTTTGCGAACAGCTGATATGCAACTCCGTTTAAAACGAGACTGAGAGGACCTGCATGCGGAGCGCGATACATTGTGAGGTACATCAGGCACACTTTCCTGGCGTATCCGCCGGAGAGACCTCCGGAGCTGGCAGGATTGACAAGTTGAAAATGGGCAGACGAGACAGATTAAGGCCATCGCAATCCTAAACCCTCAGCCAGGGTCCCTTAAAACCTACTACCATACATGCATCTACACACCTACTCGTATGAGTACAAATCAACGGAAATACAGCCGTTTTCCCATGTTTCCGACTTTGCTTCAGAGCCTTCAGAGAGGACGGAGCCGCTCCGAAGAGCGGAGCAGTTGCTGCGACCGCTTCGCCGTGCAGGCGGGGATTGTTCCTGCCGGATGTTCCCAAATGTGTAACAAAGGCCAGAGAAGGAGGGCTTCTGAGGGGTTGCTGTGTGCACATAGCGTCTACCTCTTGCCAGAGTTGGCTTTGAAGGGCTGCTGCGCGTCCGCTGCTTCAACCTTGGTTGCCTGCGACGTGTGCCTGCGTGTCTCTGATCCTGTGAGCAGCTTTTGCACCTGCCCCGTCAGCGTAATCATTGGTCGGCCGTCTGACGCCCGATCCTTTCGCCATCGTTCTGTTTTCAGGATCGCCTGGATGGGTAGCGACCCAGCCTAAACCCTGAACCCTGGGGCCTTGCCTCAGACAGCTTCTCCAAAGCCTGCAAGCGAAGCAGGGGATAGGGGTCTGCTACTTTTGGGACAGGGTGGGCTGGTAGGTTGTTTGTCGCGTAGGGTTTGACATGGCTGTTTGTCATAAGGCACGGCACGGGTACTTTGTCAATTGCACTCGCACACCAGCAGGTGCACTCGCTTATGTTCAAGGTGCAGCCGCTGGAGCACAAGCAGGGTTCAGGCGCGGTACAGGAAGTGAGGCTATCTCGGGTGACAGCTTGACCATTGGTCTTGTTGAAGACTGCAGTCGTTTGCTGTATGAGTGGTACGGGATCTTGAGCGATACCGTGTGTGCCCAATCGAAGATGCTGTCGCAGTTCCTACCAGCAGCTCCGCAACACCCTCTGAGACGGAGGTTCCCGACCTCAGACTCTTTCGGTTGGGACAGGGATGCCAGATGTGTTTGGCTGGGGGATCGAGGCCTCACGGGGTAGCCGAGAGTTTTGAAGTGTGACGTATGAGGGAACCATGATGGAATTTGCGCACTGTCTTTTCGATATTTGCGTTTCCGGATCCCACAGGCAGATCATGTGTTAGGGTCCGTGATAGCAGGTTCAGTTGCTGTACTTCAGGGTGCCTCCAACCAGGCTATTTTAATGCTTCAGGCAGTTGTGCTCCACAGTAGGTTCGATCGCTGCATTCGTTGCCCTCCGGAAAAACGAGACAATTTACGTGTTTGTATATGTATGGCTGCATTCAGATCTAGCTATCTGCATAGAAGTGTCTGTATATATATATATATATATCTGGTACCCCCCCCCCCCAGTGACCTACCCTTTTTCGCCTTGTCCCAAGTCACCCATGCTGCACTGCAAGCAAACTCCGTGTGCAATATAGCAGATTTCCTAGGGCGTAGACTAAATTACAACTACAATCCGCCTACACGGGACAGTAGAAAAACCAACAAAAAACAAAACCAAAAACACCAAAAAAAACAAAAACCAAACAAACCAAAAAAACAAAACAAACCAAAAACAACAATCTTCCGGAACTCTCAGGATTCCCTATGAGGCTTTTCCAAGAGTTCCGGATTTCTTTTGTTTTGGTGTTTTTGGATTTTTTTGTATTTTGGCTTTTTCGCGAGGCAACAACTACGCATGATTCAGTGTGCCTGTGCTAATTGTGCTTTTCAGAAATAGTATACAAGTGGTCTGTTTAGTGCATCAGAATTATTTGTTTCGTTATTATGTAAGTAGAACCGCTTCGCTTCTTTTTCAACTAGCGTTTAGTGCATCTTTTGGTGGTACTCAAGTGTAGTAGACCTTATTCAGCCGTTACTTGGTGCTCTGGTAGCTAAATTCGCATGGAAAATATTTGCCTAGTAAACGCAAATTTTTTCCAGAAGAAGAATTTGCAATACTTGTCTTGAGAAAAAGCATTTTTTTAATTGTTTGCTTAAAAAGTGACTCCTACTCGTCCAGGGATACTCCAAAACCCTACAATCCGAACTTCACCAGAGATTCTCCTGAAGAGCTTGCGCTTTTGGATGTGTTTTTGTATTTGTGAATTGCTTGTGTATGGCCTTCACTAAGTACTTTTCTAAGATTCTTGTGCCTTTTTTTAGCCTGCTTGTGCAAGTTGTGCTTGTCAGACATAGTATATAAGTGGTGTGAAATCAGTGCAGGCTTCCTCCCTGGCCATATCACCCGCGGTCTTTCTTTTCGGCCCACAGAGGGCCCTCTTGATCCTTAAGCTACTGACTTTGCAGTGTGCGTAAAATTGAGTCCGAGCCATAGATTCGAAGTGGGCGCTGTCAGTTGGCAGCGGAGTCTGCGTGGCTCTTGGCGGCGTGTGTGGCGTCGCAGCCGGCGGTCCCAGGGGCCTGCTGTTTCCCTCCTCGCCTTCTAACCGATCAGCCGCGGGAAGGTGGTGACGTATCTGATCGAGCCCAGCCACGTCGACATCTACAAGAGCGAGTGAGTGAAGATGCCATCTACTTCGGAAGGACAGTCCTCAGGCGATCCTGGAGGATATGTCTACCGAGATAGAGATCCCCCACCTTCTTGGAACGGTTCCACTCCAGAGGTCTCTTTCAAGACCTGGCTTCGAGATCTTGAGCTGTGGGAGGCCACGACGGATATTCCCAAGGAGAAGAGGGCGATCAAGCTGGTTCAAGCTCTCACAGGGCCAGCAAGGGAGGCGGTGTCGTCTTTGACGCTGGCCGAGCTCCAGCATGCGGACGGCTACAAGACGGTGATGAAAGTGCTCAACGACAACTTTAAGCCGTATGTGGAGACAGCGTTGCCGAGGGCCATGGAGGGCGTGTTCTATGGCCAGGCTAGAGGTGCCAAGGAGTCCATCCCGGATTACCTGGTGCGCGCGTCGCATGCCTTGGCGGAGCTCAAAGCCGAGGGCGTGGACCTTCCGGCGAAGGCTGCCGGATACTTGCTGTTTCGGCAGGCGAACTTGGACAAAGAGCTGGAGTCCCGTGTGGTCACGTGGTTGGCTGGCGACTACACCAAGGATGTGGTGATCGCCAACCTAAGGCGACTTGACCGCATCAACTCGAGCAGCTCCGGGTCCAAGGCGATGCTCTGGACGGAGACTGAAGAGGGCGAAGGCCAGGAGGTGTACTACGAGAACCACGAGCACTATGGCGAGCCCGAGTTCTACCTGGAGGCGGAAGACGAAGAAGACGAGAACTACGTGTACCTAGAAGACGGCGAGCTGGACGCGGTGTACGAGGAAGGCGATGTCATGGAAGCCTTGGCGTCGTACCAACATGTTCGGCAGCAGCTCAAAGAACAGCAAAAGGGCCGGCAGTACTACCAGCCGAACCTTGGCAAGAAAGGGGGCAAGAAGCTCTTCAACAAGGACGGCAAGAACACCGGCAAGCAGAGCAGCAAGTCCTTCGGCAAAGGCGGCTCGGCATGGAAGGGGTCGCCTACGTCACGAAGAGTGCACATAGAGCAGCTCAAGCTTAGGACTCGATGCCGGGCTTGCGGAGAAGTCGGGCATTGGAGCAAGGAGTGTAGGCACCGAGCGGGGCCATCGCTGACTACCTCTTCGTCATCGTCGGGCCCGGGAGCAAGCCGAGGGTCCTTCTACTGGGCCGGCCGAACGGATGGCGGGTCTGGTGGAGCGAACACCTTCTTGTCCTTCGGCCAGTTCCTCAACGACAGGCCGGGCGAGTCGATGGCGGGCGAGCTCTTCGTGGGAGTGACTACGCAGGGATGCCACGGCCTGGTGGACACTGCGGCTCAGGAAGGCCTGGTGGGTCGTCCGGCCCTTCTTCGTTTGCTGGACCTTTTGAGGCCCCTAGGCCTAAAAGGCTGCTGGACGGACAAGGCCACCCAGGCACGCGGCATTGGAGGCGCAGCAAAAACAGTCGGCGTGTGCGAAGTTCCCATCGGCCTCGGTGGAGTTCCAGGAGTGCTTGAGCTGACAGTCGTAGCCGAAGACGTGCCATTGCTGTTGCCGGTTAGTCTCTTGAGGGCCTTGGGTTCAGTCATTGACCTAAGCAAAGACAAGATCACCTTCAGCAAAGTGAATGGAGAGTGCAACATGACGACTCTTCCCTCAGGGCACGCAGCTGTGGATGTGCTTGACTTTGGTCCTGAAGGTTGGGTGATGCCTTCCGCGTGTGCAGGGCGTCGTATGGAGTCCGACTTTCGCACTGGGCAGGTTTTTGGCTCGAGACCAAAGACTACAAGATCGCCCAAGACTCTCAAGTCCGAGGCCTATGCTAGCTTCTCGTGCCCTGCAGCAGCAGCAGCAGGGGCGGCAGCGGAATCCATGGCAGCTAGTGCGGAATCCCGTCAGCCGGCCAAGGCTCGCCGTCCGAAACTGGCGGGTTTTGTTGGACAAACTCTGCTCGCTGCTGGCCTGGGGATACTGGCAAACCGTGGTGTCACCGTGGCTCTCTCTTCCCGGGCCAGAGTCGCAGCAGCAGCCCAGCCCTACGGATACCACTTCGCCAGCGACCTTGACTACGAGTTCGGCTACCAGCAGGGGCCAGATCTACAAGAACTACCTGGAAGGCGAGAGGCCCGAACAGCTGGCTTCGGTGAAAGGCGTGCCGACTCAAGAGATTGGCCGCTGTGCTCACCCAGCTCAGCAGCTCAAAGGAGGAGGCAATGGACACATGAACTGGTTCCACTGCAACCTGTGCAAGGCTCGATGGAAACTCAGCCCGAGAACAGCCGGAGCTTTGACCGGCCGACCAGTGGAGACCGTGAACCAGTCGAAGGAGAAGACCCTCAACCTGGCGGAGAACGCTCTGAAACAACAAGAGAAGCGAATGGCCCAGAAGCACCAGATGCAGCAGCTGGCGGACGAGCGCGCCAGGAGCGACGAGCTGCAGACTACGCTGGACTTGCGCGAGGGCGAGTACCTGGAGTTCGAGAGGGCGGTGGAGAACGTGACCGCAATGGAGGCTCACCTGTCCGAGATGGACCCGACTACCGCGAACCAGGTGCAGGCAATGGTCTCCGAGTTCAAGAGAGTTCAGCGCTACGAGCAGGAGACCCGACATCGAGCGAACACGCTGCCCTTGCGAGAAACCAAGAGCGACTGGGAGCAAGCCGTGGCCACGATGAAGCAAGCGGTGGACATGGTGAACCAGTTCTACGCGCGCATGATGACCCAAAGAACCCAAGTGGCGAAGCAACTGGCAGGAATGTGAACGTAGGCCAGAACATCAGATCGTGGGATGGAACGCGAGTGTTGCAAAGTGCTACGCCTAACATGGTGCGTCGTTGGATGGCCAAGCCTCTTCCCTTCCTGGACGACTTTGTGGTGGTCTCCAAGAATGGTGTCCTGCAGCGAATGGACCGGCAGGACGTGGAGGGCCTGCACAGCCTGGAAGACGAGGAGGTCTATGTGGTGGTCAAAGAGCCCGAGCTGTACTTGGAGCACCTGAGCGCCGAGATGCCGGGACCGTGAAACATCGGTGAATGGCCAGAAAGAGTTTTGGGAGCTGTGAAATCAGTGCAGGCTTCCTCCCTGGCCATATCACCCGCGGTCTTTCTTTTCGGCCCACAGAGGGCCCTCTTGATCCTTAAGCTACTGACTTTGCAGTGTGCGTAAAATTGAGTCCGAGCCATAGATTCGAAGTGGGCGCTGTCAGTGGTCTTTATTGAATACTTCAGAAATCTTTGTTTCACCGTTATGTAGGTAGAACCGCTTCTATTTCTATTATTGTGCATTTTTGAGCTTGCTTATGCAATTGTGCTTTTCAGACATAGTATATAAGTGGTCTTTATTGAATACTTCAGAAATCCTTGCTTCATTGTTATGTAAGTAGAACCGCTTCCATTTCCGTTAGTGTCTATTTGCCATGTTGGTTGAGTATGGTCCTTTAAAGAGTATTCATTTGAGTTAAATTGGGCTATTATTTGCTTAATAATTTATCTAGTAGTTAAATTCGCACAGAATGATTATTTCGGAAATAAAGAATGTTTCATGAATATGTAAACATAAGTATTTCAGTAGACTTTTCAGATAGTCTTTGATTAATACTTTGCCTGTACAAACACAATTGTCTAAATACAGTAGTTGCTCAACAAAGCATTATTTGCCCTTTAAACGCACACTTTGCCATATTTTGGTTGAGAATGGTTGAGTATGCTCCTTTAAATAGCATTCACTTGAGTCAAGTTGGGCCCTTTGCTTAATAATTACTCTAGCAGTCAAACTCGCAGAGAATCAAGAAAACGTTTCACTATTTGATGAATACTTTGCCTCGTACAAACACATTTGTATAAATACATTAGTTGCTCAACAAAACATTAATTGCCCTTTAAACGCACATTTTGCATAGAAAAACCACAGATCTAAACATAAAAATCAGCATTGTCGGCTTCAAATTCAAAACGTAGATTAATCCAATGCTGGCTTATCGGGGTCTGTGAGGTGGGTGTCCCAAGAACTGTCCTTCATTACCCGGTGATTGACTACGCGACTTTTGGGCCTTCGTTGTTCTTTTTTGTGAAAAATGGCCTAAAAAGGGTAGGTCGCTGAGGGGGGGGGGTAGCATATATATATATATATATGTATGTATATATTCTACATATATTACATGTGAATAGGTGTAAATATGTGGATGTGTACATTTTTCTCTATGCAGGTTGTGTATACGCATGCATGTACTTACTGTATATGTATGTGCATAGGCTTACGCGTAAACAAAAACTAAGCAACTAAATGACAACTCTGTAAATAAATGAATAAATAAGCAAAAACAGAAATAAACATTATATATATATACACACACACACGCATAAATGTGTGTTTGTCGACCTGTGCATATGTATATGCATATATACATATATGCTATTTATATACACATATTGTTGCAATGTTGGGGATGTGTTGTTCGTGGCGCGCATGCCGCGGCAGCCCCTCGACCCCCTTACCCCCCAATGCCCCCTTCGGCAGAATGTTCCGTCGATCGTCTTGGAGATTTTAGAAAGGTAACGGATGCCAGCGTGTACTTCAGATTCCTTCTGGTGTTGGCAAACGCAATGAACTGCAGACGTGCTTGTTGATCTTCACACCAGCAGGGTCGAGCTCAGTACACCAAAACTGGACAGGTGTGACGGCGCAGCGAGTTGGATGTTAATCCCTGTCAACACCAGTGTCAGGGCATCAGTGACGCGGAGACCGCAGAGATGCCGCATGAGCTTCCTGGAGAGCTGTCAGATGAGGCATGCCCACTTCTTGTCTGCAGCTAGAATACCAGACCTGAGCGTACACAAAGGTTGTAACTCGGTCAGTTGCCATTTGCTTCCTTGTCCATTCAGTCAACCAAGGCACAGGCATAATGGTACAATGATATGTCAGGTCAGGCAAGGGGAAGGCATACTGAAAGTGCAATGTGAAGCATGACAGTTTGCTCACGCACGGCACGCCTGTGATTCCTTCCTGAGAGCACCGGCTGTTCTGATGCTGTTCTGTGCGCTGTCAGCAAAAAGGCATTGCGCCTTGTGCCCTTGGACGAGGCCTGCGCCATGCCAGTTTGTTGTCAATTCAGGACCTTAGCCAGCCATAATCAGCCGGCCGGCCAGGACAGGAAAGGAGGAAAGAGGGTCTCGCAAAAAAAGGGGAGGAAGGGCGGAGGGGTCAAAGGGGGGGGGGGGGGGTGGGGGGGTGGGGTGGGTGGGGGGGGGTGGGGGGGGGGGGGGGGTAGGGGGAAGGAGGCCCGCTCCGGGTCTGCTTGCTCCAGACGCTTCTCGGCAAGAACCGAGGCGAATTTAGGAAGCCCCGGTCGTTGCCGTCGCATGGCCAATGCCATCTTGCATTCAAGATCTTGGTTTGTCATAGTTGAGGTCGGGTTAAGCTGTAGAGTCTGTTTGCAAGGATGGCAAGTTGACGTCAATTGGCTCAACCTTGCAGCCGAGATGCACTTAATTTTAACGCTACGCGACCCGCCTCGGCCCGGCCCAGCGCAGCCGCGTGAGCATGGTGATTCCGCAGCGCCCAAGTCGCTGGACCCCAAGCAATAAGGGTTTGGTTCAGGGTTTAGGGTTTAGGGTTCCGGGTTTATGGTTTATGGTTTAGTTTAGGATTGAGGGCTTAGGGCTCAAGGTTCACGCTTTGGGGTTTAGGGTTTTTTTGGGAGCAGGGTTCAAGACGGTTGGGCTTGGATTGATCGTAGGGTTGAGCCAGGCCCCTCGTTGGGGTAAGGGGAGTGAGTGCTTCGGGCTTTTGGTTTGAGATGTTTGGTTCAGGGTTTTCGCTCAGACTCAAAAAACCCGCTCACCAACTGCAGTGCGGGGAGGGGGGAGGGGGGGGGGGGGGGGGGGGGGGGGGGGGGGGGGGGGGGGGGGGGGGGGGGGGGGGGGGGGGGGGGGGGGGGGGGGGGGGGGGGGGGGGATGGGCGCCTGCTGGGAGGGGCTTGAACTGCCTCTGGTCCTGGCGAACCGTCCGCTTGCGGACCCCGGTTTCCTGGGGGGGTACCCATTTGAGGCAAAAAAAAGGGGTCCGAAGCAGTTGAGGATTTGGAGGGGGGTGCCTGTTCTGACAACCTATACACCTCCGGCCCGAGGCCTCGGCGGATTTGCGGCCGTGCTCACACCAGTTGAGCCTCCGGCCCTCAAGCCAGCGCGTCCGAGCAGGAAAACTCCGCCTTTCACAAACACCTTATGTGAGCAAGCACCCCCAGCCATTCAATTAAGCAAGGGGTGGCACGAATGCCCAAAACCCTGTAAAACGATGGGAACACTTGAAAAGCGACACCCCGAGGTTATGAACCATTGGGTGTGCCGCGACACCTACAAACATCAAGCCCCTCTTGTTGCGTCCATTAGCACCTCGAGCCCAGCCGCTCATGTGGCTTTTGGGGGAGGGACAAAAAGGGGGTGGGGGGGGGTAGGGGAGGGGGGGGTTGGGGGGGGGGGGGGGAGGGGGGTGGGGGGGGGGTGGGGGTGGGGGGGGGTGGGGAAGGGGGGGGGGGGTGGGGGGGGGGGGGTAGGGGGGGGGCGGGTAGGGGGGGGGGTAGGGGGGGCGGTAGGGGGGGGGGAGGGGGGGGGGGGGGGGGGTGGGGGGGGGGGGGAAGGGGGGGGGTGGGGAATAAGGGGGGGGGCCCTGCTGGGAAGGGCTGCAACTGCCTCTGGTCCTGGCGAACCATCCGCTTGCGGACCCTGCTCACCTAGGGGGGGTACCCATTTGAGGCAAAAAAAGGGGTCCGAAAAAGGGCTTTGGGCCTGGAAAAAGGATTTGGAGGGGGGTGCCTGTTCTGACTACCAATACACCTTCGGCCCGAGGCCTCGGCGGATTCATCGCTACGCGGGACGCCTGGGCCGGGCACCGGCACGAACAGGGGCCTTTAATGGGGTTTCTCAAAATAGGAATCCCTTGATTGGGCTTTCCTATAGCGGAGTAGATACAGTTTGTGTGTATATCAGCGTACCTTGGGGGTACCCCTATGGCCCTATGTTGGGAAATGCTCATTCAAGCGCTCGATTGCCCAATTCAGGCGACAAAGACGAGGCTTACTTAAAGGGCCACAAGGTCTAGCTCGCCTCAGGCTTTCTGGGGTCCCTACAGAGTTCCCTAAAGTCCAGGATCCTTAAACAAGTCCGTTGCGGGTCGGGTCCCTCACAAGTCTTGAATGCCCTCCCGAAAACTGACTAGAAGCTTTGTTGGGGAAAGGGGTTCGGTCCCCAGCGAAGAATATTTGCTGTCGGTCACCTCAATTCAGGCCAAAAAACAGTAAGAAAACGTAGGCTTCAGGGCCTCGCCTGACAAATCTTGGAAGAGAGGAGCAACGTTGCCACTCCTCCACGTGCCACCCTTGCCACCTCAGGTATTTCCCGGACTCTAGTTTAGTAGCTCTGCCTTGGAGGATGTGAGAGTGTGCAGGGGTAACCGACGCGGGAAACTTGGCCCAAGGCATGCAGAGGGTGAGTGCCGCCCCTGTGCCTTTCTTAGCCCTGGCCTTGGAAGCAGAAAGACCTGCCGCATCGTTTTCCATGAGTTTGTTTGTTCTTTGCCCTGCTGAGAAGCCATCAGGCTCAACACGTCGGCCATGCCGCAACGGTGCCGCGTGCCTGCTTGGCCCTAAGGCTAGCTAGTCAAAGCAAGAGCTGTATCACGAAGCGGAACGGCTTTGGCATGTCTGAGATTCTGCCACTTCTCGCACGAAGCACGCTACAAGCAGCGCCTCGGTCGGAGGAAGAGGCCCACGGAAGTGCCGGCCACAGATGCGGGAGAGAGGGATACACCTATCACAGGAAGGAGATGCGCAGCGGCGCGACTGCGGCTCTGGAGGCTTTTGCAGGGAGCGGAGCACCCCCCCACCGCCCAGAGGGAAGTGGGCATGGTTCGAAGTTCGCCTATTTCGCACTTCAACTTGGGGGGGGCCTGTGCTACGGGTCTGACAAGCAAGCTTGAGGGGTCGTCTTAGCCTCGGGTTCCTATCCGAAGTTCGTCCAGACCACAAC